GAGGTTGCAGCGGTGGCTCCAGCTGCACATCCTCAGACACTTGAGAGAGAAGTTGGCCCAGGTAGTTGCGGACATGGATTATTATTATTATTATTATTATTGTAAAACTCGGATGTTGAGCCATAAATAAATGTAGAAAGGAAAAAGACATTATGGATACGAGTTAAGAGTAACTCTCCATCACTGTAACATGATACTTTATACAGTCAGAAAGTGCAATAACTAGGCACAAAACTGACAGAATTGTAGTTAGACCGCTTTGTCAGATATCGTACTGGTCTCGTCATCCGGTCCAGTAGCAATCGACATTCTTTGTTCCGTTGGGACTGTAGCTTTTGCTCGTTTTCGTTGCGCTTGCCTTCCCCTCTTTGGTCTTTCCATAACCTTGAACCTTCCAAGTTGGAAGGCTGTCGGTTAGCGCTACGGAGATGTGTTGAAGCTAGGTGTCAGGACGTCGAATGTCTCAGTACTCTGTCAGTTTCGTGCCTAGTTATTGCACTTTCTGACTGTATAAAGTATCATGTTACAGTGATGGAGAGTTACTCTTAACTCGTATCCATAATGTCTTTTTCCTTTCTACATTATTATTATTATTATTATTATTATTATTATTATTATTATTATTATTATTATTATTATTACGAAGTAGTGGTTGAATAATTATTATTATTATTACGAAGTAGTGGTTTGCGACTTCGGCGATATTTGTAAGAAAGGGTTTGCTCCCCACACCGGAGCTCGCGCTATTCCGCCGACTTTACTTGACACTTGACTGGCAGTCGTGAGTCAGTCAAGTGTCAAGTAAAGTCGGCGGAATAGCGCGAGCTCCGGTGTGGGGAGCAAACCCTTTCTTCTTCTTCTTCTTCTTCTTCTTCTTCTTCTTCTTCTTCTTCTTCTTCTTCTTCTTCTTCTTCTTCTTCTTCTTCTTCTTCTTCTTCTTCTTCTTCTTCTTCTTCTTTCTTCTTCTTCTTCTTCTTCTTCTTCTTCTTCTTCTTCTTCTTCTTCTTCTTCTTCTTCTTCTTCTTCTTCTTCTTCTTCTTCTTCTTCTTCTTCTTCTTCTTCTTCTTCTTCTTCTTCTTCTTCTTCTTCTTCTTCTTCTTCTTCTTCTTCTTCTTCTTCTTCTTCTTCTTCTTCTTCTTCTTCTTCTTCTTCTTCTTCTTCTTCTTCTTCTTCTTCTTCTTCTTCTTCTTCTTCTTCTTCTTCTTCTTCTTCTTCTTCTTCTTCTTCTTCTTCTTCTTCTTCTTCTTCTTCTTCTTCTTCTTCTTCTTCTTCTTCTTCTTCTTCTTCTTCTCTTCTTCTTCTTCTTCTTCTTCTTCTTCTTTCTTCTTCTTCTTCTTCTTCTTCTTCTTCTTCTTCTTCTTCTTCTTCTTCTTCTTCTTCTTCTTTCTTCTTCTTCTTCTTCTTCTTCTTCTTCTTCTTCTTCTCTTCTTCTTCTTCTTCTTCTTCTTCTTCTTCTTCTTCTTCTTCTTCTTCTTCTTCTTCTTCTTCTTCTTCTTCTTCTTCTTCTTCTTCTTCTTCTTCTTCTTCTTCTTCTTCTTCTTCTTCTTCTTCTTCTTCTTCTTCTTCTTCTTCTTCTTCTTCTTCTTCTTCTTCTTCTTCTTCTTCTTCTTCTTCTTCTTCTTCTTCTTCTTCTTCTTCTTCTTCTTCTTCTTCTTCTTCTTCTTCTTCTTCTTCTTCTTCTTCTTCTTCTTCTTCTTCTTCTTCTTCTTCTTCTTCTTCTTCTTCTTCTTCTTCTTCTTCTTCTTCTTCTTCTTCTTCTTCTTCTTCTTCTTCTTCTTCTTCTTCTTCTTCTTCTTCTTCTTCTTCTTCTTCTTCTTCTTCTTCTTCTTCTTCTCCTTCTTCTTCTTCTTCTTCTTCTTCTTCTTCTTCTTCTTCTTCTTCTTCTTCTTCTTCTTCTTCTTCTTATTATTATTATTATTATTATTATGCGGGAGCTAGAGCCAGTAGTAGGGACCGGGCATGATTGCTTGATGCTGTAACGAGTGCATAAGAGGTTATGCGATACACGTCATATCTCTTAATTTGCTGGGCAAAAGTCCTATATATAGGATTTGAAAATGCGTGACCTTTATGCCGTTGTTATTGGTCATCATGAGTCATTCATGACCCATAATAAGAGCATAATGGTTTTATTAGAAGCTGTAAATATGTTTGAGGCATGCATGTTTACTTTTCAGATTCATAGGACATCATGAATACCCATTTTGAGCAAGGATTGGAATTTTGAGCAGCACTGTTCAGCTGGTGTCATGGGAAGGACTGAAGCAGTGAATGTGCAATTGAACATTACAGGTGCGGCACAGGGTAGTTTCATGACGACATATCGCACATGCCGTCGTGAAACTACCAATTTTAAGGATAAAACAAGGTCCACCTAGAATCTCAAATCCCACTTCTCTGTACTGTGTCGTGCCCGTTATGTCCAGCAGTTGAAGGTCCTTGAAGCTGTTTGTATTCGTACGCATAAGCCCGATTTGTGTAAGCAAAAAGAACATGTTTTAGCACTTAGGTTATTTTCGTGAGTTTGCACCCCGTGTTCATGAGTTGTTTCTGCACTGTTCATGCCCGTTTGTCACACTTACTCTTTATTTTAGTTCTCACTTTTTGTAAAACTTACCACAAGTTACCCGTCATGTGTCACACTTCTTTGGATTTTTAACCTTTGTTTTTCCCTTGATCTCTTTAGTTCCGTATTTCCACTGATGATCGGAACGTGAAAATCGATTTTGGAAACACACAAAACCAAACCTTGAACAAATTGTCATGTTGCGTGGTGATGTCTGCGGCATTCATACTTTTCATTGCTATTATTAAACTTTTATCTCCACGTAGATTATTCCTATATATAGGGTTCAAAAAATAGGGCACAGGCCTAAAAAATATTGCGCAAGGAGATGAGCCTTATATATTTTATATTTATATTATATTTATTACAACATCTCAAGACTCGGTGGAAACACCGGCCAATGTTAAAGAGAGTGGGTGATTGCCAACCACGGCGATAAATAAAAGTAAGGGGAGGGAAAAAGAAAGAGTAGCAAAATGAACAGCAACAACTCCGTAAAGAAAGAGAAAGATAATGTCAAATAAAAACAGTGAAAAACACAGAGACGCAAAGGACATGTGGATAATGAGCTATGCATGTCGTAGTAAATAAGGGGCGGCACGGATCTTAAACAGGCGGAGTGAGGTCAGGTCCTTAACTTCTCTGGGTAGAGTGAGCCAAACAGAATAAGCAATAAAGAGAGGGGAGCGCAAAAGAGTGGATGAGTTACACTTAGGGAGTAAGAGTGAGTTTCTAGTTCTTAGAGAAGAGAACCAATTAAAACACATGAGATGAGGTGGGCACAACTCAAGCTTAATAGAATGGACAAGAGAAGCCAGGTGTGCACTGCGTCCATGTGATAACGGGGTTGTGTGAGCGATTTTATAAAGGGCGGATGATGAGAGCATGCGGGGTTGACGGAGGAGAATTTTAAGGATTTTCTTGTGATGTATTTCAAGCTTTGCAGCAGCGGAAGAGGATAACCCAACCCAAGACGTATCTGCATAATGAAATATTGGGCGAAGGTAGGCGAAATAAAAAAGAAGCTTGCAAGAAAGTGGGAGGTAGGAGCAGTGGGGGGGAGAGAATTCCTAAGGATTTACTTGATTTTTTTACAGATAATATATATTCGATGTGAGGTACCCAAGAGAGTGCAGAGTCAATCACAATGCCAAGGTGTTTGTGAGAAGACACTATGTCAATTGGATTTGGAAAGTTGGCATGGATGAGGGTTGTGAACTCCGGCTGGGGCGGGAAGAGCATGATCTTTGTTTTTGATAGATTTGGGGACAACCTCCAGGACGACATCCAGGAAAGAACTTCCTGAATGCCAGCACGCAAGTTGTTTTTCAGGCCAGTGAGGGAAGCTGATGAGGTGAGAAGGGTCGTGTCGTCAGCAAACAGAGACGTTCCAGGGAAGACTGCAGGTAAGTCGTTTACGTAAATTATAAATAGTAGGGGACCAAGAATTGATCCTTGAGGAACGCCCGACAATACTGGCTCTGCAGCCGAGGATGTGCCAAGCACAGTTACGTACTGATAACGCCCAGAGAGATAAGATTTCAGCCAGGAGAGTGGCTGTTTGCGTACCCTGAATGCATGCTCGAGCTTTGCCAAAAGTCCTCGATGCCAGACGGTATCAAAAGCCTTGGCCAAGTCAAAGAAGCAAATGCCAGCAAGCGCTCTGTTATCCCTATGCTGGCACACCTGCTGCACGATGCGGGTCAGTTGAAGAGAGGTGGAGTCGCCTTTACGAAACCCAGATTGTGCGGGACTCAGAAACGGCGAAACATGTCTGTATAAGTGGTCATAAAAGATGCGTTCACATACTTTGGACACGCAGGGAAGAAGAGAGATAGGGCGGTAGTTTGCAGGTTCGTGGCGGGAACCTTAGATGTTAGTATTTGAAAAAATATCTTATTCAACTCTCCATATCGACTAAGACCTAACGCGGAAGAATTGGTCACATATGTTTCCCTATGCTCGTGCCACACCCATTTTGAGTTGAAAAATATGACCAAAATCCTATATATAGGATTTAGCAAATTAAGAGATAATAGTATTAATACGCTTGCCACCCCAAATTCTTCTACATAAGGGGTTTCTGTACGCGCTTTGGGCATTTTGCCACCCCAATGGGCTCCTATATATGGCGGATTTGACGTTATCGCATAACCTCTATACAGGATGGGTCACGCAGCCATTGTCCAACACCGACACCATGTTTGGCCCCACTATCCATATACTGTGTAGGCTGCGCCGAGATCAAGGCGTCCATCGGGGCACCATAGCCAGCCAGCCGTATAAGGGAGCCCTTCTCGCGAAGCGAAGTACAAAATTGGCGTCTGTAGCAAAGGCTCCGCGTGAAGGCCTCCACTCGCCAACCAAGCATATAAGTTATAACAGACTGGCGAGGACCAAAAACCATTGCAGATATTCTCGCTTCATCGTGAGGTGGCATCTTAAGGACTCTCGCTTCCAGCTGTCATCGAAGAGTGTTCTCCTTCCTGTTTCAAAGATCCACGACGTGCTACTGATTTAGTAAGTTGCTCACGGGTCATTTGGGTTTGTACCCGGCATGCTAGATGGCAGATGAGGACCTAGTCTTGAGTTGATTCTGGTGATCTGCTTTTATCAGGTTGTTCTGAGGCTGTTATAGTAGTAACTGTTGGTCTTAGTATCTTACTCAAGGGTGCCGTTGTATTTTCGTGTGGCTGTGGTCCTTAACTCATTGACATTGGTCCTATGCAGGCAAACATGTCGCGTGGTAACTTGTGCATGTCCGTGCCGATGCTTCCGTCGCTAGTCCTGCTCGCTTTCGCTGCTGTCAGTTGTTTGTTACCGACGGAATGTCAAGGTGAGCAGGCCCTTCAGGACTTCTTTTCTTAAAATATGTTATGATAATCGTCAGTTTGATGGAGTTGAAACGGAAAAGACTGAAGAAAAATTGTCCTACATCCTATCTATATGGGCTCTTCCTTTTCACATTAATTTTGTTTCTTATCAACCACCACACCACACCACACCTCAACACGTTGCCACAGCACACCATCAGCAAAACGATACTTCAGTTGGTACTCTGCTCCTTCAGACAGCAGCTGTTTCGATCATCAGGATCTCCCTCTTGATCATTAATTGTGTTGTTGATTAAACATCCGAGTTTCAAATCCGGTAAGGGTTAACAGTTTGCAGTCGTGTTGAGATAGATGCATTGTTCTGGTGGTGACAGGTTATTTTTTCTTCAGACGTTTCCTGTTTACATCTTTCCCTCAAACCAGTGAATATGCATTGTACTGAAGTACTGTACTGATATTCGGAAAGATCAAGACCACAGTACACCGTGCTACATGGTATTAAAAAATATTGGTGCCAAAACAAGCGGGAACAAAACAAAAACTAAAGAAAAAATCGTGTCATGAGTGCCAGCTTGTGTGGTAATAACGTGGGGTACCAAATGTGTGACTTCCAATAGGACCAAAACCTATCTATACCATAATGTGCATGTGTACCCAGTCTAAAAATATTATCTTACTATAGGATTACCCAGAGGCTGGTCGCCTATGAAGGTGTTCACTAGGCCTTTGCGCCTAAGTTTGCGGATAATGCCGGCAGAAAAATTGGCAGAATTCGGTACTTTTTCTGGTAAGTTTCATGCATGTTTGGTATGTGGATCAAGAAATGGAGCAGAATTCGAGGAATTGTCCGCCATAAGGTTTTGTATGGTTCTGCCAATTTCACTGCTTTTCGAGCAGAATCTGCCACCTTTTCGAGCATTATCCGCCAGTGCCTAGTGTTCACCATATTGAATGATGTACATGTACAGTTGCAGTGGCATGAGTGAAGAGTAGAAAGTAATGCAGCATGATGAAAACCATGGGCAAGTGAAAACAGGCAGGAAGAAGACAGGAAGGAATGATGTCCTTCCACCCAGCGAACGTAACCATGTTCCATAAGCGTTTGCGTACTGGTGCCAGCTGGTACATTGGTACTAGGACTGACCAACACCCATACACTTGCACCAGACAACATGCTCATATTAGCACTTGCATCATTCAACCAGTCAGGGGAAGTGAACTGCCGGAAAAGAGAGAAAAATGCCAGACCCACCAGGACTCGAGCCCTTCTAGGTTTGGCCTGGTCCCATAGCTCAGTTGGTTAGAGCACTGCTCATGACAAAGCAAGGTCCCGGGTTCGAGTCCCAGTGGATTTGGCATTTTTTTCTCTTTTCAGGCAGTTCACTTCCCCTGACTGTTTACCTTGAGTTTGAAGTTTACCCCATTCCCATTTCAATCATTCAACCAAAATACTTCCAACCCGCTCAGTGGACATCCTTTCTGACCCTATACCTCTGCCAGATCACGGGGCAAAAGTGTCCATGTTAGGCATTGGCGGATAATGCTCGAAAAGGTGGCATATTCGGCTCGAAAAGCAGTGAAATTGGCAGAACCATACAAACCTTATGGCGGACAATTCCTCGAATTCTGCTCCATTTCTTTATCCACATACCAAACATGCATGAAACTTACCAGAAAAAGTACCGAATTCTGCAATTTTTCTGCCCGCATAATCCGCAAAGGTCTAGTCTATGTACCCGTAACTCATGCAGGATTGGATCACACGTTAGCTGAGCGATGGCGTGAACTGGAGTACCTTCTTGTGTAGCAGCACATTACTATTGCAGATGCTGGGGTCTCGGTCGGTGTTAACCTATAGTTTCAGCGGTGGCTGCTGTGGTATCTCTTTTTGACTAATCTGCCATAGTGCATTCAAAAGCATCAATCGGTAACATGCAAAAAATCCTCGTTAGCCCCAAATATGGCCAGGACACCGGTGTGCAAAGAGAGTCGGTACATGACTATATTTCTTGGCTACTATCAAGCACCAGTCACAGTATCATTCTCTGCCAGGCTATGGACGACAAGCAACACTTTTGACAAACTGCAACCGCAATTTTTTTAGTTTCTGCGGAATCATATTTGCAGTGCAGCATAAGATCTGCATCCCATCCATACATGTACATGTAAATCTCATAATTTTGACTGTACACGGCAAGCATTCCTTTTTTCTTGCCTCAAGTTTCGCATGTACATGCGTCACTCTCTCATGGAATTTTCTCTTATAAGATTGCATGCTTCACACTCTCATGTAATATTCTTTCCTTTCTTCGTCTTTTTGTGAGAGCTTGGACAATCCACTTGTCCAGGCAAGAAGGCAGCAATGCCTGTTCCTTCTGGCGAAGTAAAATAAAATATACCAACCAACCAACCAACATGTACTAGCTTCGATTCATACCACTGAAAGTAAACGTGTACTGTGAATTGTTGCTCACTGTTAAGGTTCGACGTTTTACTGCCGGGGGTTCAACGTAAGCATCACCAGCCAGCCGATCGAGTTCCGCGCTGCCCGAGAGGCCTGCAAAGAGCAACAGATTGATGTTCTCCGGATGAGGGATCATCGTCGGCTGCTTAGGTCTGCCTGCTACACGGTAGGTGTGTGTACTTGAAGTAGGTGGTATTTTGTATGTGCCAAATTATACTTGACTATACGGATCTTCAGTATGGTTTTAAAATGCTTTCGAATGACACACGAGTCGCAGAGTACCACGCGTCTGGATTGGTGTGACTAAAAGTTTCATGCCAGATGGCAATCTTCAGACAACTCTGTGGCTCGTGTGTTACTGCTCTGCTTCCGCACTGAGTGTGTGCGTGTGTGTGTGTGTGTGTGTGTGTGTGTGTGTGTGTGTGTGTGTGTGTGCGCGCGCAGAGGCACTATTAGGTTTTCAAGTTTTCTTACGTAGGGTTTCATGTGTGTTTGTGTTAACATTATTTGCTCCCTGAAATCTAGGACCAGCTATCCGGTCTTCAAAAGCAAGGAATACGCCACGTATGGGTAAAAGAAAAACACAACTCAATGCGTGTTATTGATATTGGGACCAATGACACCATTGTAGAGACCAATCAAACAACGCACGCCTTCATTTGTGCAAAAGGTACGTACACTATATACCTAGGAGTTAGCAGTGTTTGTGTTTCAAATCACAATTTCAATTCAAGTGTATCTCAAACGGTATTTTAAGGGCCGAGTTCTCTTCTGGCAAGTACATGTACAAGTATGTGATGTAACCGATTATTACTGATGTAACGAGATTAGAACTCGGATGGTGAGCCAATATAGTTACGATAAACAAAGGTAAAGGACAAAACGTTACGAGTTATGACAAACTGTCCACCAACGTAACCAGACCTTATACAGTCAGTAAAATGTCTCAGTACTCCTTGTCAGTTTTGTGCCATTTTGTCGCACTTGCTGACTGTATAAGATCTGGTTACGTTGGTGGACAGTTTGTCATAACTCGTAACGTTTTGTCCTTTACCTTTCTTTATTGTAACGAGATTAATTTCTTCTTTGACCTCCGTTTTCAATGCAAGTCTAACTAGAAACAAAGAAGGCACAGTGCGCTTTGGGATGGGGTTAGCATACGTAATGCATGTAGGCATGACGTTCAGATCTCCTACATTCCTGAATCATACATTTAACAGCCCTATAAAACAGAGAGGTTCCAGGCTGTCCAAGAGAGTGCTCAATACCAAGTGGTAGAGCTGGTTCAAACAATAGGAGGACAGAGAAAGTGTTTTTCTAAAACACTTTCTCTGTCCTCCTATTGTTTGCATTTAACAGCCCTATGTAGACACTGCTTGCAGAAAGCCGGCCGAATTGGCTACTTGCTCTGGTGGAAATTCTCGTGCATGTTGGTATGGAGATTCTAGAGGAGAAGCATTCAAAGATTTCCCCTCAAAAGCCCTGCATGGTTCTGAAAATGTCACATAACAAGGCCTACAGTCATCACTATTCGGATCCGAATCCGCCATTCATGTTCCTACTGCGTTTAGGATGGAAAGATGTGAAAGTTCGTGTTTCACCTAGCGCACCTGAAAGTGCGAAAGATCGTGTTTCAAGGGAACTCCTATATTTTGGAGAATCTTTCTGGTGATGTAGTAAACGAGAGAGCTTGGAAGCTCAGGGCCCTGCGCTATGCTTTGTTGCCTAGCTCATCGTGCATGTTGTTAGAACTGATGGAAATGCTTTTTCCTTTGATTAGCTACATCATCGTATTGCAAAAACGTTTCAATGAGATACTGAAGTACAAGTAACGTCTTTTGCATAGCTATGGGACCGGCGCTGACTTTGCCGATCACGAGCGTTCTGGAGTCGACGGGATGTCTGTCCTGACGTTTCCTGGGACCGGCGCTGACTCTGCCGATCACGGGCGTTCTTCTTCTTCTTCTTCTTCTTCTTATTATTATTATACTGACGGCAACTAACATCCATTCTGATTGCATTTACTCGTCTCCCTACTTCGTTTTTTTCTTCAGAAAATCTCCCCATACAGCAGGGAGTCGTTTACATAATATGACTCCCTGCTATAGATCTAAATGACTGTATATACGTTATAATGATTATGCTATCGGCCTACATGCGATTCCCGGGCTGGTCGACAGGCGGCCCAGCCAGCCTGCTAGTGGGATCTCGGCCTCGCACACAAACCCACAGAAAATGTTACTGCACTGAATGCATTCCCCCGATACACTTCGCATATATACTCATTCTCTTGATGGTACCGTACTCTTGATGGTACGGGACAGGTACGGGATAGCGCTAGGCATATCGATGGCACAAACAAACAAAAATATTGTGGTCAGCTGTCTTTGCTGGTACGGTACAGTACGGGACAGATACGGGATAACGCGAGGCGTGACACAAACAAACAAACAAACAAATAAACAAACAAACAAACAAACAAACAAACAAACAAACACCAAATTAAAACTGTGTGGACCCTGGCTAGCGCCAGACGTTACTGAAGTAACGTCTTCTGCATAGCTACGGGAATAAAATAAAATAAACAATACAAAAAGTGTACGTGGAGATAGGAAGGTAATTAACGCAATAGTTTTGCTGATGGTGTTTGTACTGAGTGCGCAGCTTACTCTATTTATTGCGTTAAATACAAACAGTGTGAGTCATTGTCTCTCTCTCTCTCTCCCTCTGCCTCTCCCTCTCCCTCTCTCTCGTTCTCTCTCTTCACTGCATTTCCTGTGCTCAGATTGGAATGAATGCAAATTCACGGATGCACCTTGCCCAGAGGGCACTGAATGTGTTAACAGCAAGGGCAGTTACAAGTGCATTCGATGTAAGTCAATTGTCTCTCCATCAAGTGTTTCTCTGCTAGTTTTCACAGCTATTTATGGCAGCGGTGATTCAGGGTGGTTTCTTCTCATACATTGTAGCTACACGTGCTGTCTGGCCGACCTCATTCACACCTAGTTCGAATCATTTCGTTGATCATAGTAGGCTGAAAGCTGCTGTCTATCCCCATATTATCAAGTTGTTGCACTGTTTCGGAAAATAGACAGGCATTTCTCTCGTGCAACAAGCGGAAGTCATTTGAACCGTTTAAAGAGGCACACGCATATTAGACAAGCGCAATTCGGCATTCGCTGCATTAGACAAAAATTCAGAAAATATTTGAAAGCAGGTACATGCATATTTACATGTAGGAGAAACTTAAAACATCATGAAAAGACGGAGGGCGTACTGTGGCTACCAGAGAAGTTGCCAGCTTCCCACTGATTGTGCTCTCCGCAGAGATAACCTCTGTGGTGTTGGTGACAGAGAATTTCAACCACAGCAAAGATGAGAGGAGACTTGTCCCGCACAGTCCATGTTGATTCCGAGACGGGAATGGTCGGAGAAGTGCGCTGCGCCTGACCTGCACAGCTCTTGTAGCACCTACTACTCCTTTCTTGTCTTTGTATTTTGTCTCTTTCATTACCCCATTACTTTGTAGGGATGAGCACATAGTATAAAAAGAAGAAAAAGAAGAAAAAGAAGAAAAGAAGAAGATAATAATGTAATGTTGCCATCACTTGAGTATTGCAGTCATCGAGAAACAATGAGAAACTACCTGCTACATCATTAGAGATCTCATGTTTACGCATTTGAAAAATCTCAAGATTTCTAATGGTTCTCAAGATACATGTACTAGCACATATTACAAATCCCTGGTTTTCTGATGGTTCTACAGAAATATTATTTTTATAAATCGCTTGATTTTTGGAGGTTCCTTGTTCATGATAGTATTGATACATGCTGTTCCCTACATAGGCCTTAATTCACGATTTTTCCTTGTGCTCGTTTATCAGATGAGTGCCCTGAAATGAGAGTGGAAAATGGCAATCTGCTTGCTACATTTGTGGATCTGTCGGCCACTGCCACATGTGATGAGGGTCACCACTCGACGAGGAAGGTACAATGTACAGCGAACGGCTGGGAACGAACGGAGGGCTTGTGTTCTGATCGTAAGTGGCGTATCTGTTGCATTGTTGGCATGAAAGCAATTTTGTAAGTGCAATAAAGAATATAATTGATGCAGACATGGCCAAACAACAACGGATTTTAAAAAAGGAATTAGAAACAAATATTATCCAAAATCGATTTTCACGTTATTATGATTACTACACTTGATCTACTCACCTCCCACCGCTTTAGGAGCTGCATCTGCGCCTTGATCCTTGAAGGGTGATGGCGTTGCTACGGACGCAAAAAACTCGGTCTCTACCCGAGTCTGACGGGAACCGTGAATTTGTTTTTACATTTGTGTGTCTTGTATGGGCAGACTAATTGTGCATATCGTTGTGGATACTACTGCAGGTGTTGGGTCTTCTGCTGAGTCAGATTTTCCTTTTACCCTGGTGTCCGCAGATCTCCGGTGCTCGAAAACAAGTATTGCTAATGGTGTCATACCTGCTGGACCAGCAGGCCGTACTGTGCTGCCCACATGTGATGATGGGTACACACCTCGTGGATATCTAGCTTGCAATGCTTTGTTGGGATGGAGCCTTACCACGCCAGACTTCAATAATCCCTACGGAATAGAGCAGCAGTGCAGGAAATGTAAGTAGCAAAATCGTACTGTATGGCCACACATGCATGTCTGAGCGGCGGGTGTTATTATTAATATTCACTATGAGATGACATTGTGAGAGCGAGGTGGCGGCTCTTTGGCCATGTCCTGAGACTAAACGACGATGTACCAGCACGCGTTATGATGGCAGCATACTTCGAAAACCCAAGTTCCGCTGCCACCTGGCGGGGCCGGCCACGTACCACTCTGCCACTGAGTCTGCACCAGGACCTGCAGCGTATCGGGGGGTCGCTCAAGAAACGCGAGGAACTTGAGAACCTCCATGCCATCTCCCAGTCACGACAAGACTGGAAAGACCTATGCAGCAATGTGATAAAAGCATACATCAAAGCCTAATACTGCTTCTACCTGTGGCAGCTGCATGGCCGTACGGTGTACCATAACATAACTCATTGACCAACATATTTTGTGAAAATATTATCCTGTAAAAGAATAGGAATGTAAACAATATACCTGTGAAAACACAACCTTGAATGCTACTAACACAACCTGTGACTACAATAATCATGAGATCAACCCCAAAACATTTCTTGCAGTTTACTTTCGTAGAGTTTGTAACTTTGTGTTCCTCAACACAACTTGCAGCTTTCTTCAAAAATATCCTCAACCTTCGTTCTGTCCTAGATCGTGTATACATACATTCATTGTTTCGTCTCATTGTGGAGCAGCTTATGCGAAGGCTAGCCAAGCTTGCTTGGCGATGCCAACGCGGAAAAGCCTATAATAATAAATAATAATGAGATGACAATCTAAAAAGTTTTTAGATTGTCATCTCATAGTGAATATTCACCACCAATATGATAATTATGGCTGTACATGTACATGTATGAGACTAACCAGTCTAATGACCGATACTTGGTAGCGCACCGCGTGTGTGGTGGCCAGCACTGTAAACACCAGCACTCTACAAGTACAAGGCACCGGTATGTCCATTATATTAGCACCAGCACCAGAACCAGCACCAGCGCCAGCATTAAAACACTAACACTAACTAATATTTGAATTTGAAACTCGGATGTTGAGCCATAAATAAATGTAGAAAGGAAAAGGACATATGGATACGAGCTACGAGCTACGAAGATGTGGTGAAGCTAGGTGTCAGGACATTGAATGTCTCAGTACTCTGTCAGTTTTGTGCCTAGTTATTGCACTTTCTGACTGTATATAGTATCCAGTGATGGAGAGTTACTCTTAACTCGTATCCATATGTCCCTTTCCTTTCTAATATTTGAATGTAAGGAAAAAATTGGAGGCGTATACATTTTTGACAGAAAAGGTGTCAGCACCGACGCAATCCACACAGTCAAGTGTGTTTTGGAAGCGTTATAATATTATATTCGGAAGTTGTCCCCTGAACTATGTGTTCAGAAGGAAAATGTTTTGTCACTTCAGTTGTTTGGCGCTAATCCTCGTGAAAGTGTCAGGAGTGCTTCTCCTCACTGATGTTTTCATTATGTTTTAGCCATTTCTTCACCTTCACCCTGTTTTTGACCTGTTCTGCTGAATTTTATTTTTTCCATACGTATAGCGTGAGGTTCTCGATCTTTGCTTTTGCTGTAGCTCTTATAAGTTGCTGTATTTTGACATTTTTCCATTATTTCCTGTACTTACCCATGATGAGAAGGGAACGAAAACGTTTGGTTACTAAATTGGATTACTTGACTGTGTGGATTGCGTCGGTGCTGACACTTTTCCTTTCGTAATATTTGAATGCTTTGAGTTCTCGGACCATTGTTGTTCTCACATTCTGATTTTTGTAATAAACACGTCGTGTCGACCAGCACGAACACCAGCACTAGTATCACCAGCACCACTAGCGCCAGCACCACCACCACGACCACCACCCACCACCCACCCCTCATCTTGGTCTATGAATTGCTTACACACAGACACACAACACGTTTGTGTCATTGTCTGTCCCATGTTGTGCTTGCAGTGAACCGGTGCTTAGTAACGAATGCCTATTTCAATGTACAAGCAGTCGGTTCAAACTCACGCAGCTCAACCTACACCGACCATCTTGAAACCTGCTTATCCGTTGGTCGCCGCCTGCCAAAAGCCTCCGAGGTTCCCTGTCTGAAGTCTGTCCTGAGGCAGTTGCTGAATAAGTCCCCTCAGGCAGGGTATCGCAATGCCTTTTTATTGGAGGAGAGAACTGCTTATGTCCTGAACATGACAGCTGCTGGAGCTATTCGTGCGTCTTCACTATCGCCAATGCAGAAGAATGAAGTCGTTCCCGGGGCTGTATATGCTGTATGCATGCAAGTCTGCAAGAAGACGGTAAGAATGCACTTTTAAAGAGATTTCAATAGTTGCGTACGGTTTCAGCACACAGCACCAAAATACAGACACAAACACATGCGCACATACTAGCGTATACACATGCACGCACTTTGCCATGTGTAGCGGAAATTGCAGTAGCTCCATTGGGATTGGAATAACACGGGGTTTACATCTTTGGCACACTTTGAGCACTAGTTTTCAGCGGTTGTTAGCAATATTCATTAATGACTATGTAGAATTCGAAGGCTAAACAAGGCTTCAGAGGTAACAGAAATTTCATGTGCAATTTGATCCCTGTAGAGACTGATTCTGTTCGAAGCAATATCCATGCTGGTCAAGAAAACTATGAGCACCCAACCATGACAACCCAGGGTTGACTTTGGGCCCGGCCACCTCAAAGACAATCTTGTGACTTAAGAACGGCAGCCAAACCACATGGGAGCACAAATTCGTCAAGAAACTGCCGTATCCTTTCACGAAAGAAGGGAATGCGCGGAATTGCTTAATTGGCTGAATTTAGTCTCTCAAACATAGTGCAAATGCATAAATAGTTCCGAAAGATTCGCTACATACACGCTTCACCAGTACTTTGAAACACACTAGTGCAAATGCATTTCGAAGTCTCTTCAGTGAGTCCGAGGGAAGTTGTGAACAGTCGCTGCTGGGCTCGCCACGGCACCAGAGCTTATAGGCTATTTATACTACGTTACGATACGCGTCACGTTTTGGAATACGACGTACTGGCAGACGTCATTTTCATGCTGGTGCATTCACACAGGCACGCACACGCTGCTCATACAGCTGTGTGTACAGCTTCTTTTGGACACAAACTGCTGGGAACGACAGAACAAACCTCGGTACATGGTCTGGATACGTCGTCTACATTTTCGTATCAGGGGTGCGATTTTCCCGCCACGTTCCATGTTGTCATGGCTATCCGGACGAAAACAGGCGTAGTGTGAATGGCCCATTAGTGGTCGAGCAATGTTGTCCATAAACGAGGGTTCCTGGTTCGAATCCTGGCGGCGCAAGTCAATACTTTCTTCAGTCTTTCTTTCCCCATTCAACTTCATGAGCCTTAGACATATCACTATGTGATGGTAGTTTGGAAGATGTTCATTGGGAATGATGCATACTTGCCAACAAAAACGAATTAAAAAGTAAGAGAAGTCAGAGAGAATAGAGAGATGTAACAAAGATTTTGGATAAGTCAGAGAAGTTGAATACATAAAACATTTGGAGATGAAACAGAGAACTCATTGAAGTGTAGGAAAGGGGAAGGGGGCGGGGGTGTGCAATGGTACTGCGGTCACTGAGCTTGAGAAAATGTACACGTATGGCTTGAAGGCAGACATAAGGCCACACCAAGTTATTTCTATGTTTCGCTTCACCGCCTGCGTACCTTTTCGAATCGTTGGCAATAACAAAATAACCGAAACGAGTCAATCGATGGCCATTCTGGCGAACATTCTCTAGCCAGTATGGCAGATCACTGAGATCAGAGATTATCAATCTTGCATTCCAGACGATGGTAAGTTAGAAGGTGCGAGCGATGAAAGTATCCATTTTTCCAAGCCGCTAGGGCCTGCACACCAAGCGAGCGGCGATTCCAGGTGTCAAGGACTTCGAGATTTTCCACTATCGTGAAGGAGTGGAACTCCACTCGACCCATGTCAAAGTTCTGAAGGAGCCATCCATGGAGTCTTTTGCTATTATTGTATCACTCCAGCCCCCTCTGCAAGCTCTCCTGTGGCGACATTTTGCCATTTTGTACTTAAGGGACAGTTTAGCAGTGATATTCTGTCTGCACCATGGCTCAGTACACATAGAATTGGGTCTTGTTTTTCGACTGTTTTTGTTTTTTTTCCGCCCGCCCGCGTGCCTTTTCCAGAAAATGGTCGACGCGAAACATGGAATTTTAAAACTATGCGTGGCCCTAATCTTTAAAAATAGAATTTGGTGTACATGTACTTCTAATATGTGCCCCTGTACGGCTCGCTAGCCACACAACCCAGGGATACATGTAGCCTTTTTCTCATACGTTGTGTAATGCTATGGCTTTTGCCTTGTGTGTGTGTGTATGTGTATGTGTGTGTGTGTGTGTGTTTGTGTGTGTGTTTGTGTGTGTTTGCGCTTGCGTCTGCACACAGGCTAATGTTTAGACTACGGACAGTGGACAAGCGACTGAATCAAGCCAAGTACTTGTCCAAATACTTGGAATAGGGCCAATATTAGTATTGACCGGCAGTGCAGACAAGTTCAGTTTCATATGTGACATTGTAAATTGAAACGAAGGTTATTTTCTACGCCAAGAGTAGCTCATTCTCCACATGTTCTTTGCGTCTCTAGCTCTGTTGCTTTTCATTTGTTTTTATTTGACATTCTTAAAAATATGAACACGAGTTTTGTCTGAACTCTTATCTTGATCGGTTGTTTCTGTTTTTTGTTTTTGTTTTCTTTTGTTCTGTGTTTGATCGGATCAATCCGACGTCCGCATCTGAGCACTGTATTTACAGTATGCTGATGTGTGTGTGTGTGTTTGTGTGTGTGTTTGTATGTGTGTGTGTGTTTGTGTGTTCGTGTGTGTGTGTGTGTGTGTGTGTGTGTGCGTGCGTGCATGCGTGCGTGCGTGTGTGTGTGTGTGCGTGTATGTGTGTATGTGTGTGTGTGTTTGTGTGTGTATGTGTGTATGTGTGCGTGTGTGTGTGTGTGTGCGTGTGTGTGCGTGTGTGTGTGTGCGTGTGTGTATGTGTGTGTGTGTGTGCGTGCGCGCGCGCGTGTGTGTATGTGTGTGCGTGTGTACCAGTGATCAATGTATGTCATTGTGCAACGGAGCCTGCACTGTCAATCTCAGCAAGTCTATGTTTTTAATGACCATCCCTGTGGTTTCATGCGTATTTGTTTTGCATCTTGTTTGGAAATTCCAATGATGATCACAGTCGGATATGTGTTGGTAGTAAAGTAAAACCTGGTGTGAGCGACCTCTGGGTTTAGCGACCACCTGCTCTTAACTTATGGTTGATAAATATGGTGGTAAAGACACACCTGGCAATATGGCGGTAAACACACGCCTGCCCACACACGCTCTCTAGGCTGTAAAGTTCTGGCACAGAGCTCTCCTTCTCACTCAACTTCGTACACCTGCTCTTAACGACCGTTTTTCCATGCACCGACAGTTCTACACAAACACTGTGGACCTGGTTCTAAAGACCACCTGGCTTTAACGATCGCTTTTGCTTGCACCGTGGGGTGGTCGCACAAACCAGGCTTCACTGTACTGTATACTGTACTGTAAAACCGGAAAGTGTGACGACCAAAAAGTTTAACGTTTTTTGTAATTTTGGCATGATTACGTGCAGAAAGTTTAACGATGGCTACCTGGTCAACCATCTGTATGCGCATCTTTACACAGACATCTAGCGATAACGTTTTTTTTCAAATAACGAAACATAATGACGTGTGTGTGCGTGCGTGCGTGTACGAGTGTGCCTGTGTGTGCGTGTACAAGTAGTTGTGCATTCATGTGTGTGTATGCATGGAAAAGTAGGTATGTGTCCGTGCGTGTTTGTGTGTGTGTGTGTATCTGTATTTGTGTTTAAAGTCTTCATTCTCACGAGGGCCCGAGTCCAATAAGAAATAGATAACAGAAAAAACATATTTAAAAACGTCAAAAAAACCGTCAATGATCTACCGATGTCTGTCCCTAATGTTTCACTGTTCGCCGATGAACCACAGTTTCCGCTTCAAGTAGTTGCAGGCAATTGCTAGTTAATGACCTCCAGAAAAAGATAATGTTTTTATCAGATTATTATTATTATTATTATTATTATTATTATTATGACGGATAACCCAAAGGTAATGGTACCTAAATCAGGGGGTGTCTCCGGACCAAACACAGAGCAAGGAGCTCAGCCAGCAGAAAACGTCAGAAAACAAATAAACAAAAACAGGAAGCCTGGCATGTCAGCCGTACTTGCAGGGTGCACTGGACAACAGCAGCACATGCACATGCGACGGGAAAAATAAAAATATGAAGCATCGGATGTCAGAGAAGTACGTGCAGGAGTGCGCCAGACAACAGCAGCACATGCACACGCGACGGGAAAAAGAAATAAAAACACAGTTTAAAATCCAGGGATCCCAGCAATGTCGTAACAGTACTGAGAGAAATGACGCTTTAAGTCTCTTTTGAATGTATGAGCATGTGCAATCTCACGCAGACTTTGGCACACTGGCGCCATGCGCCACACTGCTCGTTTTCCTTGTCCAAATCTATGTGTGCTGCTCTCCTATCGGCCTCATTATCCTTTACATCGTGAGTGTGATTGCTCTGGTAGACCACTACCCCGTGTACTGAACAGTCGCTTTGTGAGTGAAAAGTTTTGTTTTTTCACGGCTGAGCGTAGCGAAAGAGTGCAAAAAACGTATTTTTCACTCACAAATATTTTCGTGCATTTGCTCTTATTCTGCGCAACTCCGTTGAACCTGCCATCGTGGTCTTTGTTTTTCCTCGTGGTAGTTGAAGTTGCCCGCCCACCCACCCTGGTTTCATGGGAGTCGTCCGCTGTTCTTCTTGACAATCTATGCCTATGTGTGTGGCAGATGTAAATGTTGTGTCATGTTGCACTGTATCATCTCATGCTTTGTGCCTGCAGTCTGCACTCAGTTATATATGTTAGCACTATGCTTGACACCTATTATGTAATGCTGTAGCACTTCCTTTTTTGTTCACACTTTTAATTATGCTGTTATAAAATGTTCTATTTTTGTTGTACACAGTACACTCAGTTCCGATACTATTCACTGATGAGCGGAACACGAAAATCGATTTTGAATAACATAAAAATTCTTAAAAATTCCATGAACTCGTTGTTGTCTGGCCATGTCTGCATCTATTATACTCTTAGGGGCCGTCCGGGGTTACCGATTGTTTTTACAAAACGAAAAGTTTTAGTATTTTTCAGCCCCCACCCACCCACCCACCTTTACTGCAGGTAAAACGAATTCCAATAAAATATTGATGTCAATTTTCGACACCCAGAAGTAACTGGGCATTCTCCATCAGCATTCAATAATTATTTTCAAAACGAAACTCCATCAAACCCACCCACCCACAAACGAAAACATTTCGTTTTGAAAATATTATTGGTAACCTTGGACGGCCCCTTAATTGCACTAAAAAATTGCTTTCTCCACGCCGACTCCTTAAAAAACAAATAAAAACATTGTCTTATTGGACTGTAGGGCCCTCGTTAGAGTGAAGACTTGAAACACGCACGCACACACACTCACACGCACGCACACGCATGTACACACACACGCACACACACGCGCATACACGCATAATTTATAAACACACACGCACGGATACATACACAGTGACACCTACTTTTCCGAGAATCGTTCTGAGTTGCAAGGATAACTGACACGAGCACAAAACAGAGCAAACTACTCCAGACGCAATGTTTGCAACGACAACAGGGCCAGGTGAAATCTGCTTCATAAAATTTGTTCTTGAATTTCCCGGTCTTTTCCAGTGAGTGGTACAAGCTTTAGTATGACAACGTCACATGCTGGTCGACTGAAAACGTAATCTATGCAGACCGAAAAGTGCAATGTGGTTGCAGGCGGACTTGTACTGAAATATGCACGAACATTTGTACTGTGATTTAACTGATTTTCACGTAGTGTGGCCTTTTAAGCCTGCTCATATCTATTCCTTCCGCCACCTTTGACCAGAAAAGCTGCACTTCCATCCGGACTTACGTCCTGTACTTTGCGAATTCGGTACACACACCACACACCAAAGACCAAAGTTTCCAAGACATCATGTTGGTAGTCATCGTATTCAAAGAAGGAATGAAGTTAATAACTTTAAAAAACGTATCCAACAAAGAAATTAGATGTGTGCTAAACTGGTACGATCACACTGCAATATATAGCAGATAAACGAAGCATCGCGGGGGCAGCATTGGAATGTAGATGGAATCGTGCACCGCAGAAACATAAAATCGTGTCCGTATGACAGACGGCTTGACTGGAATCAGATGCTTCGGTTTTCTCTGTTCCCTCACTGGAGACACGCAAACATAAACAGGTAGAGTGTAAATGAGGAACAAACACCGGGTTAGGATTCGGTAAAACCATGAATTATGCAGCAGCAGCAGCAGTAGCACGACCATCACCAGCAGCGGCAGCACCAGCAGCAGCAGCACCAGAATAACCACCACCACCAGCATCACCATTATTGGCATCAAAATAATCAACATTCATACTGCCTTTAGCGCATGGTGTGCGCTTCACATGGCAGTACAGCCAGTGAGAAACGCCCTGAGCTTTGTGCATGAAATGCAGCCTTGCGATAATGACCTAGTACCTGACCAGTTGTCTTTGTGGCAATTCTCCATATTTGTGGTGTTGAGCACTCTATAGGCATATGTGGATAATGCCGGCAGAAAAATTGGCAGAATTCGATACATTTTCTGGTAAGTTTCATGCATGTTTGGTACATGTATGTGGATAAAGAAATGGAGCAGAATTCGAGGAGATGCCCGCCATAAGGTTTGTAATACAAACGGTTCTGCCAATTTCACTGCTTTTCGAGCATAATCTGCCACCTTTTCGAGCATTATCCGCACACCCCGGCCCCCTAGCACTCTAGGTAATTTGGGAGAGGTGTTTCTGGCAGCCTCAACTAACACCGCCAACGATGCTCGCGCTGATGTCCGGGCTCGAGGGCTGTGGACCAGGGCACAGAATGCTTTCCTGGATGTCCGGGTTTTTCATCCCGATGCTCCGTCCTATGCCACCAAACCTCTCGACAAACTGTTGGCGGAGCATGAGAGGAAGAAGAAGCTGCAGTATGCTGAGCGCATCATCAATGTGGACCGTGGGACATTTACTCCACTAGTTTTCACCACGGCCGGTTGTTGTACGCCAGAGTGCTCCAGATTTGTCAAGCGCCTGTGTGGCCTCTTTTCGAGTGGTATGGGGACACGACGTTGTATGCCAAGACAATGACATATGTCCGGTGTCGACTGGCGTTTGCATTGTTGCGGTCGACGATCATGTGCATCCGCAGTGCCCCATCGTCATATCACCGTCCTGTGAATGCATTGCGAGAGTTGGCAATCTCGGAGGGCCGGCTGTGAGGTTTTGGAGACGATGGTGGGCAGGACAGTGCCCTTGTATTTTCCTGTTTTTTTTTGTTTTTGTTTTTTGTTTTTTTTTCTCGTTTTTTGCGTTTTTCACACATACAATATTGTTTTCATTTTTTGGTGTTGTGTTCTAATCATTCGCCATGCCACTGTCAATTGTATTCTGTTTGCCCGTAAAAGAGGCCTACTTACTTCCTAGGTAATTTGGGAACTCTTCCTATTATGGGGTCCTGGGATTCTTTGTATGGGTGTCTACTAACTGACAGGTCCTTTGGCGGCTATTCTTTTATTTTTAAAGCATTGTTTATTGTGGTGAATGTCATTCGATGAATTCTCTTTGGTCCTAGTCAAACCTTCAGCGAACGAACAAACTCCTGGATGGACTGTGGAAAGACAAGAAGCGCTGCGGACCCTGTGTGCTCCCTTTCTTACTTTTTGGCCACGCTCAGCTACTTCGAAGTATTTTGTTTTCTGTTCGACTCTCTTTGTAGTGGAGCATTGTACAGGGCACAAACTAATAAGAACAAAAAAAGCACAAAATATCATTGTAATAATTATAATCTTACCGTCTGATGGCAAGCTGGCATGCACACCACCAGGTCTGCTCCGGGAAACGTTTGGTTGCGCTGTGCCGGTGATAAACGAGACTCGTGAAACTCTCCATCATCGCTGATGGTCAGGACGTGGCCTGCCCCACCAGCATAGAAGAAGACTTTTCGGAAAGCCGGGCGCTTTGAAAACAAAAACGTGAGTATCTGCTTCATACATGGCAAATCAGAAGACGTTGGCAAACGACCTTCAGCAGTGGCTGCGCAATTTTCAAGGAAATTGCTATATGTAGGTACCAGGCCACCTCGCGTGCTGAGCATATATTTCGATCCAGCATTCTCTGGGCAGCTGTTCACTAAAAGCAAAAGAGCAGACACATGCACACGAAACGTAACTTATAAGAATCACTTAGTTTCCAAACTAGGCAGATGAAGTGTACAACATCTTTGGCAAATACAGTGAAACCTGTCGAAGACGACCGCTCAACTCAAGGGACCTTCAAAATGTGGTCTCTGTTACCAGGTGGTCTCCTTATCCAGGGTCACTTGACTTGAAATAGCATCTCTTGATCCTGGTTTCAGTGGTCTTCTTGGACAGGTGGTCGCCTTATCCAAGTGGTCGCCTTGACAGGTTCTACTGTACATTTGCTTTGTCGGTACAAGAGGCTTTTCGACTAGGCTTTCTCCAAATCGGCCGGTTTTTTCGCCTATTCGGATTTTCGCTTAGCTAAAAAATACATCAGATTCGGCTGCAAAATCAGCTGATTGTTCGAAAATCGGCTGCAAAATTGGAATACGTTGGAAAATTGGCTAAAACAATTGTTTGCATATTGGCTTCAAAATTGGTGAGATATTGAAAATACAGCTCTGCTAGGTGGAACTGGCCACAACTGTACGTTGAAGTGTAGTATTTTACCAGTAACGATCTGCCTAATGGCTAATGTTTGTTTGGGAGGAGGTCAAACGACACGAGTCACACGCACTAGTACTACAACTACTGAGGTAGATAGCTCGAACGGTAATGCTTGCAGCAACATCATTCGTTCGTAAACGCACTTTGTAACAACATTTGGTAGATTTTTTGGCGATTCTCAAAGCAACCCTCCATTATCGGCGAATAGCTTAGCAATTTTTCACAAAGTCTCCTTTTCAGCTGCCCGATTTGGGGAAAGCCTATTTTTCGACTATAATCATTCTCATTAGAAACAATGCTCAATATCAATATCTTTAAGGAGTGTTAATAATGCATCCACCACTATTCGCCGTAAAATTGGATGTACAAGTAAGAAAAAAATGAGCTACCCCAAGGGCATGATAGCTTTGGGTTTGAGTACAAGGCATTGCAGGCCTAAAGTTTGAAACGGCAGAAATAAGAAACCCTGCGTTCTTTAAAGGCGCAACAAGTATGATATTGCGTGATGGACTGAATACGGATAAAGGTTGCTGTGAACTGTACAGTTCAGTATTATGTCTGATTAATATTGTACTCACATGGAAAACAGCCATCAGTGTTGTATCTCTTCCCCCAATAGAATCCACCATCCCTATCCTTGACACATTCGTAAAACCGTTTAATGGAATGATATCCATTTTCACATGTGGCAGAAACAATCGCACGATGTGGTGCTGAATGGACTCGACCATGAGGTATATCCATTCTTAGGCAACCGACAGCTGCATGATTGGGACGTGAACCACAAGAACAGCATTGACTTAATAAAAAAGTTTACAGTTGACTTTCTTACAAAGGATATTGCCGTATTTTCTCTAATAGGATATGTATGTTGCACATGTCGGCGTGGCTGCGATTAACACTTGTGTCCTAACACACACACACACACACACACACACACACACACACACACACACACACACACACACACACACACACACACCTGTGGCCAAAGAAGCAGTCTGATCGGCAACCACATAAAGGCAAGATATGAATGGCTATTAATGATGAAGTTTAAATAAGGAGAAACATTGTGCTGTAGATGATGAGCTTACGTTTTCCACATAAATGCCCATCGTGAAAAACTGTAGGCCGATCTGGATGTGGAACGCGTCCAGCCACCCATCCTCCTTCCGTACATGTCGCTTTGTTTACAGTGGTATAACCTGCGTCACACGTGGCTAAGACTTCATGATTCACAGGTGTGGTGTTCACAAAGCCATTAGGAACGTACACTGGTACGCACTCTCGCCCTACAAAACAGCGCACAAAATAAAACTCAAGAATTGGAGGCCGAAGTTCTGCAAATTGAGCATAGCTCCATTCAGCCAAATCGTAGGGTTGAGTCAGAACGAGGAGTAATCATAATAATCGTTATAGGGATGTACGGTTTTTACCACCACCTCTGGGTTTACAAAATAACGCTAGTAAGGCAGACCAGCTCCGGAAGGCACTAATTCCATGTATTGACTAGCTCCCATTCAGTCTTGATTCCAGACGGATCACCTGATGATCACGTTCACGGAGAGTGGTCATATGTGCAGCCGTACGCAGACTGGCCAGCAGGTACGATGAACACACAATCACTCACCCATCATTGCCAGCACAGCAGTACAGGTCGGTCGACAAGTCTCAGCAAAAGATTACGGATATGCGCACACTGAGATCCGTAAAAATATTCAATGAGAAGCTATAGTTATGACTATGTCGCCTTTCTGACCTCCTTCCCTCACTTAAAGTACAATGTATCCGGTTACGGTTTTATGTGGTAAATGGTTGATGCAAAAATAAAAAAATAGAAAAAGATTACAGATCATGCTTTATAATAATTAACCTCACAGCCATGCATCATTCAGGATTTCAACCTGCCTCCTACATTATCTTCGATGACGGCAGAATTTGTTCTCTTCATTGCTATTATAAAAATTGTTGTCTCCACGTCGATTATTTGCATATTTCAAGCGGAGATACTCTAGGAGTCAGGTTGAAATCCTGAATGATGCTCTGCGCAAACGCCAAACGCTACTTGGCTAGAAACATTTCAATATTATCTTCTTGAAGCCATGCATATCTTTTATTCACACCCATTCACTACATAATGAAGGGAGGCCTCGTTTTACTCCTTCCTCGCGAAACCTGATAGCCATTTTACTGGAAAAATGGGCAGAAACACTGCATGGGAGGGGGGGGGGGGTGGAGAGTAATACTTACGATGACATTCATAACTCCCCATTGTGTTTAAACATGTGAAGGAGGCATCACAAACAGCTCCATCCTCCTGACATTCATTTCGGTCTGCAAAGCAAGCAATATAGCAAAACAGCGTGAGAATCACCATGAACGTGACTGTTGATTCCCTCAAGCTGTAGACGGCGAGTGGATCTGGAAATTCACACAAATCCATTCCCAGTACCAGAGTTAGTGCACTGCTTTCTGCCTTCGAAAGGTTAATAGCTAAAGCTTTGTTCGTAACTGGCAAAAGTACTCCATAAGTAAAAGGTTCTTGAGAGCTCTAGCATACATATTCGTTAAGGACTTCACCTAGGACAGAATTTCGAGGTGTTACGAAAACGCTTATCGAAGGGCACTAGGTCTTAATATAAGGGAATTCATGAGTAAGTAAACAGAACGAAACACATTATCGCCCATGCCACCACTCTTTTCGTGAGACTAAAGAGCAAAGACGTAAAGAAAATAATTTTTAATATAGTCATCTCAGATGTGATTTTCTCACTGTCACTCACTCCAGGCTTACCTGTGACACAAATAAAGGGACTAGCAGATTGGCCAGAGCTGGCATCAATTGGTTCAGATTCCAGGCTAAACACACTGCCCTCTGACCGGGATTCCTTCAGCCAGGTGCTCGCCAGATTGATGCGCCGAAGTGTCCACGTGACGTACTGCATGTAAGAGACAAGCAGATTTCGGGTTAGAGGAAAGCAGCAAAGCACAGACTGAGGCAATGGACACTGTGACCGGGCCTATCGTACTCTTGAACATTCGTTGCAATGGTGATTATGGGAAGCAGAAAACCAATCTTTTATAGGTAGCTTTGGGACGTTGAGAGCAATGACGCGAAAGGCACCCGCAAGAGTGCAAGTATCACCAACTACAGTTGCGCTTATTCAAATCCGACAGAAAGTACATATTGGACGACCTCAACTCAGTTACTTGCACGCCTTATGAGGAGGCACGAATGCAGCTGGACGTACTCTTGAACAAGTACAGTAAAACCTGTCACTAACGACCACCCCTTGGGGTCAGAGAAAGCGGTCTTTAGTGGCAGGTGGTCCTTAGTTGGAGGTTTGCACCGCACAACCATGTATGCATGTGAGACCGTCCGTGCCTGGCGAAGTGGCCTTTAGCACCAGGCTGGTCGCTAGTCACAGTGGTCTTTAGTTACAGGTTTTACTGCTCAGTAACCGGAACTGGTCCAGGGCGTTAGTTTTTGCACTTCTGGTCTGATGTCAGTGAGCACCAAGTACAGAGTGAAATCATCCATACAGAGCATGACAATATCAACAACAATGGGAACGAAGAAAGCAAGTCGGCTAGAGACTGAACGTGGTAAATAACTGGAATTTTGTATTTTGCAGTGCATGTATTTTGCAGTGCAGGTAGTAGTAGTACATGTACTAGCATTAAGATTGCAGACGGAATGAAATTTAGAGTGGGAAAAGTATTATGTTGGGTAGATTTGCTGCAGCACCGTATTGCTGTTGATACAAGTACATAATATGTGCTTGTATATGTATAATTATTAATTATGTTCTTAGAAGTTCCAGGTACATATACATATACATGTGCTTTGGATCGGGTTAGCAGATTCATTTTTGTCCTTTCGTTTTCTAGACCTCGATGTGAGACTTACGTTGGAGCATGCCGAGCCCGCCAACTTATCGTGCTCTGCTTTGCTGAGAAGCGATGCATTGCGTAGTTCACACTGCCTAGCGGCGTCCGAGTATAGTGCAGGATCCTCGTGGATACTGATATGATATGGAGTGCATACGTCTCCTTCACATTGAAAACAAATAGAACATAGCTTCAATAACAACGTCTGATGCACGAATATGCCCCAGTCACAAGCCCACTTGACTAGAGAATATGGAGGCCTCACGAATTGCGCGTTCGAGTTCGTGAACGTTTCTCCGTGTGCGAACTGGATTGCGAACGTTCACCCTTTTCGTTGGGAAAAGCATTCGAATCACGAACCGCGTAACTCCCCTATAAACAATTAACACCATGGTTGGTTGGTTTATTTTAATTCGCACAGCCAACGTCACTGAAGACAGGGCAGGGACCGAAACCTGGGATGTTCCAGTCAGATTTGTATCGGCACTACATGTAGCGGTACTATTGGTTTGCCCAACCCTCGGGTCCGGCGCATTAGTTTGAAACCTTGCTTTAACTATCTTTTCCCTCTCCTAAGATCTCAAAGACTCATAAGTGTCAACATTCCCTCAGCCCTGGAACCTTTGGATCCGTTGCCTCATTTTCATGAAACACCTCATCAATTTCAAATTCGGTACTTGCAGTATTCCCTCATTGATTTGTTTCCGTCTTCTCTTTGTTCTTTGTTCATGACTGTATTATCCTCCTTTTCTTATAATTATCACCATTAAAAAAGAGGACCAAAAGTTTACAAGTTATCCGTTTTGTCGTTGAATGTCATGATCTCATCAGTCAGTTTTGTGCTAATTGTTGCACATTTTCACTCAACAGTGTTCTGCTTATAACCGTTAGTGTTGGACAAAACGGATAACTTGTAAACTTTTGGTCCTCTTTTTTAATTTTTATCCTTGGCTCTCCATCCGAGTTGAAGTATCACTATCTTCATTATTTTGCGAGAACTGTGGCAATACGCCCAGTGAGAAGGCAGTTTTTGCCTGTGCTTCCGGTGAAGTGAAATAAAGCTAAAAAACAAAACAAAAAAACAGCCTACTCAAGCTCAACTGATGAAGGTTGAATTCCCCGAAACGCTGTTTATTTAGCAGGGAGTGGTGCTTTCTTGCAGGTTTGCCGAGTGGAAGGTTCGATGGACTTCTCGTGTGCTCTGGATGGCAGCCGTTAGTCAGTCAAGTGAGAATTCAAGTCGGCAGGAAAGGCGCGAGCTCCCACGTAGGGAGCAACACACAATTCCTCAAGTATCGCCAGTCGCCTCTTCTTCACATTTTGCCGGTTAGGTAGGCTATGTAATGATAAATCTATTATTGTCCTCATATTGCCCTCATAACCGGTCAATATATGAAATTATAGACCTTGTGAAAGAAACGTCTTCGGCCGTTGTCGTCTACTGGTTCTATTTTATTGACGTCTTTAATCGTGCAATACATTCTACATATAACAAAGCCTTACTGCCACACACACATGTAGTATGTGCGGAGAAATACTGTTATAACAATAACACTTACGCGGTTCACACATGGGCTCGGTCAATACCCATCCGGCCTGATTGCATTCGGCCCAAGCCCCTGGAGCAGGCCTGTAGCCATCATCGCACGTGAAATTGGTTCTGAATCTCTCATCTTCCGGTTTCTCGACTAGGAAGCCATTACCAATCCTCTGTGTTGGACATCGGAGTCCTGGAAAAAGATTACAACTTCAAGGTTGGTTAATTGGTTGGTATAATAAAAGAGTCCATAACCCCCTGAGTGCGCAACTTCACTGATCAGATCTGGGACGCCGAAATCCGTGTTGCGCGTCATAGTATGACATCATGATTAGGGGAAGTGTGAACCGTGTCGGCGGAATGACGCACATCCGACCCAAAAAATGACGTACACCACGGAATACGCCGTCCCACAACCCCACCCCAGTGGCGCACTCTGGGGGATTATGGCATACTGAAACAATGGGATTATGGACCCTTGGCATAATTATTTGACATGCCCCAGCAGACATACAACAACTATCTCATCACTCTGGTTAACTGAAAGCGTAATGGTGGCAAAACTACGCCAGCTGAGTTGTGCTAACATGGCCACCGCACATATCTTTGAGAATTTATGTGCTGCGGCCTCAAACGTAAGAGAAAAATGATCTTCTAGCCGCCAATCCACTCTCCGTACACGGATGGGGCTAAATGGTTTTTTTTACATCCCGCGAGCCCAGGGCTAGTTTATCATGGAACCAAGCGGGAAACGTGCAGAAACAAAGTGCTCAGGCACACACGGTCCCGGTCCTCAAAGGGTTAAGAGTCAACGTCTTTAATCACGAAATATAACCGGACATGGCCAGATTTCTGATTTCGCTCAAAGTTGGCTCCTTTTATAAAAAAAAATTCTCCATTCGCCACATTGTAACAATGGCAATAACCTACCTCCCGTCTCCTTTGTACCGGACCTGCATGCACAATATTCTCTGAAACTCATTGCATTAGGGAACTCTTCCTGGAGCCCTCGTCGACGTCTCGAGATTCGCTAGTGTTGCCAGACACTATTCGCCTTCTGGATCGGTAATAGTATTGCCTGCTCCAATCTCTGCAGAATCCATACTCAAATCTTAGTGGCTCCTTAGTAATCACGTTTCCCCAAAAAGGGCATTTTTCAGAGCACACACTTTCTGGCATGTTGCACATGGAATAGCCTGTTATTGTGTAATGACCGTTTTTTCTATCTCAGCAAAACACAAAATCTGCCCCAGGGCCAAGGCCATGCATTCCTAGTTCTCTTTTACGTCCGAGCTATTGGGAGAAACCAAAAATGATAATAATAAGCTCAATAGACCTTATGCACGTTATAAAGATGTACGAAGCTCTGTACTATGACCGTAGCTGCAATTTAGCTTACCTTTAGCACATACAAAGGGGCTAGCAGATTGGCCTGTGCTAACGCTTTCAGATTCCAGTGTGAAAACAACACCGGTTGAAGGTGATGTCTTTAACCAGGTGGTTGCCAAATTGTGAATTTTTAATCCAGACATGATATACTGTATGAAGTGCAATTCATAAAACACACACACCCGTGTGCATATACACACATACACGAACACACACGCACACGCACACATACATTCACAAAATACACTTCAAGCTAGGTTTTCACTTTTACAGAAGAAACCTTTTACGATGTCCAGATCAGAGTGCTGTTGAGAGCAGCCCTACACACAACCTAACTTCATCATGAATTGTTCTCCTTCTAAGGCAAACCTATATCTGTTTTAGCATTCGCAGGGTTAGAACAGATCATGGTCGGGATCATCCACTCAAACATCACTTTTCTGGCAATTTACAGAGGATTTCTCGCACTCACACAAATGGGCGTACGCATGTTCATGGCTTTTGTAATCCAATATGTTCTTTCTTGTTGCTGTTTCTTGTTCTATGCAGGCATGTGTAAATAAATGCTACTGGGCGCTCCAAAATTATCGATTTCACTCATACGCACAGTCTCGCATTGCCGTACACACATACCATTTTTGTGCACAAAACTTACTATCAAACACTCCCATATGCAAACACTCAATCACTCACGATTGTCCACACACAATAGTCAGAGACAGACATTTTCTGACACACAAGCAGATTCACACACACACACACACACACACACACACACACACACACACACACACACACACACACACACACACACACACACACACACACACACACACACACACACACACACACACACACACACACACACACACACACACACACACACACACACACACACACACACACACACACACACACACACACACACACACACACACACACACACACACACACACACACACACACACACACACACACACACACACACACACACACACACACACACACACACACACACACACACACACACACACACACACACACACACACACACACACACACACACACACACACACACACACACACACACACACACACACACACACACACACACACACACACACACACACACACACACACACACACACACACACACACACACACACACACACACACACACACACACACACACACACACACACACACACACACACACACACACACACACACACACACACACACACACACACACACACACACACACACACACACACACACACACACACACACACACACACACACACACACACACACACACACACACACACACACACACACACACACACACACACACACACACACACACACACACACACACACACACACACACACACACACACATGCTCTCTCTCTCTCACACACACACACACACGCACACACATCCACACACGTATACACACTGACAAACACGCACACACAGACAATTGTCTATGCCAAAGATCAATTATCTGGCTTTCTATTTCTAGACCAACATGTGAGGCCTACCTTGGAGCACTGGGACTGTTTCAATGCATCATAGGATTGTTGCGTTAATAGCGTTGCATCGCGGCGTTCACACTCACTATTTGCATCTGCGTATAGCGCTGGGTCCAAATGGACGCTTACATTGTACCAGTTACATACAATAGGGTTATCTTCACGAGGTCAAGCAAGAAGAAAACAGAGCACAAAATGAAATGAAATTAGGACAACCTAAAGGCATTTTGGCTGGAGATTACGACGGAATGTATTCATGCACTACACACATTATGTGTGGTTTAAACATTTTACCCCATTTACGTATAGAATAAACACCGATGTCGCAGTGTTTAAGGGAATATATACACGTACTGCTATAAAAACCGAGGCGTAGCCGAGTTTTTATAGACAGTGTTTATATTCCCATAAACACAAGACAGAGGTGTTCTTCTATTTATACCTAGCTTCGTTTTTGGCCTGAAATACCGGTCCGAAATAGCTATTTTAGTATCCCAGTATACTATAGTATACTATTATCAAGAGTACATATCTACTCTTGCTATTATGATTAGGTAGCATTGCGTGTTCCAGACCTAAGACCTATCTTTCAACCAACATCTGCATCAACACCCTGGTGGCTGGGTGGTCAAGATATGTGCTTGGGAGTCTTATGGTTAGGTTCGATTCCTGCTAAAACTTCTTTCTTCTCTTCAATTTTTTTCTTTTTCAATTGGAGAGGAAATTTCTAAGTCCCTTGAAAGTTGAAAAGTTACAACCTCTAAGTGGGTAATATAGCAACTTCGTTTATAACGACATTCGGCGGGGCATCAAAAAAGTGTCCTTATTCGCGAAGTGTCGTTATACCCGAAGTCTCATTATTATGTATTTAATACAGTTGGATAGAACTTTGCTCTGGGCATGGAAATTCTGTCGTTATTCGCGAATCCGCAGTCGTTATTAGCGAAGTTGACTGTACCCCACGTTAAAGTGGTGAATATGGAGATATATTCACCAGTTATAGATCACAGGTATTAGTGGGGTTAACTTGAGCTGGGTATAAAGAATATTATTTTACGAAATACTCCATTGTGAGCATACTGTTTCTCCAGTGTTCAGAAATTTAAAATACAGTACCGGTAGTAGTTTTCACCAGTGGCATACGCGAAGGGCAACAAAACGGAAAATCTAAAAAAAATATGGGCCGAGTACTCAGCAAATATGCCAGTGTTCAAAGCTGGGAACGTGGGAAATCAGTCCACACGAAACGATGGCTGAAAAGTGGTGATAGACGGTGGCATCGTATTAGAAGCACATCTGCGCTTAACACAACCATCCTAGACTAGTAGTGCAACTGGCATGACGAAACCCAGTTGCACAATTGATACTAACCTGGTGGACATAAGGGCTCGGAGTAGGACCAGCCAGTCTTGGTGCAAGTAGCCTTAGCCTCATATGCCTTGTAGGAGCCGTTGTTACACGTTACTTCGGCATCATGATTAACAGGCGCATCTGCTAATGACCCGCTGCCAATTCGTTTTGCTTCGCACTGTGTTCCTGCAAAAATGATCGTAGCATGCCACAAGAAGATAATTACATTAATTTTGATAGCTATCCAAACCCAGATATTTGTAAGTGATACTTACCCATACTTGAACAAAAAATATACAGAACTGTTCCTAGCCATGGAGCGATGATTGCAGAAAATGGATTTAAGGTTGTTGCCTTCCATATAATTATCTAACCAGCACAATCTACAAGAGGTGTTTTTAGGGGTATCGGATACTAGCAAAATAGTGGTCGTCGAGGCCTGGAACGCCTAACCCTGAGCAACCCTGACTCTTCCTTCTTTCTGATGTTCACTAGGATTTTATTCGTGCTTGAAAAGGACATCTTTAAAGGTTTGTATCCATGGTGAGGTTTTAGTTTGAAGAGCACTATAAGTGAAATACTTCGTGCACAATCCTCATAAGCCTGGGTGGGGGGGGGGGGGTGGAGGTTGGGTGGGGGGGGGGGGGGGGGGGGGGGGGTGGGGGGTGGGGGATGGGTGTGGATGTAGGGGGGGGGGGGGGTTGTGCCTGGAACACTGTATACCGTACAGAGAGTGGTGCTTTCTTGAAGCACGGTTTACCAAACGGAGGGTATGATGGACTTCTCGTGTGCTTCTCCTAGTCCTAGGACTTACTTGGTGTACACATGAATTCATTGTAGGACCAGCCATTTATACCGCAAGAAGCCTTTTCTCCTAATGCACTGAAGCCATCTTCGCAGATGGGTTCGACGGATTGATCTACGCTCGTCCTTGCTAGTGAACCGTTGGATATCTCAATTGCGCCGCAGTGTGATCCTGCAAAAAGCAAAATGCAACAAAGAGCTCATTACATCAGCTAGCTGTCAAAACACGCATATTGTCGCATACGAGCAACCCACAACATACCCAAGAAGGGTATCTTCACACCAAGAAGATAATTATAGCCCTGACCCTAGCTTGGTGAATGCAGATAGGGATACCAGTTTGTGGTTACGAGCTACAGATGAGGTCAGATATTGTAAATTGAAGTCCAAAGTGAATTGGCTGCCGATATTAGTAGGAATGTCTGAATAGGAGTTAAGAAACTTTTCCGCGGGCTTTGCACAGTCGATCCACACCCCAAAGGGAACCTCCTGCACATTTTGAGTGAAATCGGAGAGATTCACTTCCACATAATAATACTTATATACTAAAAATTATACTTTGGTATTCTCACACATGCTCTCTTAAGGGTCTTCACGAACATTATGAAAGTTTTCTGTTTCACAAGTATACTTTCAAGCCTTCTCGTCAGGTGAAATACAGGCAAAGGGAAAGGTACAACAAGAACAGTGGATTCAGTAGAGTAAGGAGGTGATAAACAGTGCCAAGCAGAAGATAGCTTAAAAAACCCAGTGAAGATGCGTTACCTATACATATACATAAAGCAATAAAGCCAGAAAGTTGCAAGTGCGAGAAAACCCAACAATCGTGAAGTGTGGTGCGACAACAAAAGACAACCAATGGGAATAACGAACGCGTTTTTGACGACCTAACTAATAGTCGTCGTCTTTCTCCATAAATCCTGATCGTCGCGCGAACAACAGCCACTATTGCCTAAAACTACGACACAACAGTATCAAGCTCGCCCCAGCAGAAGGACACGAATGACGAGCGCTAAGACGGAGAAAGAGAGACAGGGTTAGCGAAAGCTGACTAGTGCAGGTACGCTGTCATCTCCTGAGGTGGTGGGCCAAGCAGCGAAGTGAAACGGAGGAAGATAGAAGGCATATGGAGGCACCGAAACCTATTGCCTGTCACATACTAAGTGCCATTTAGCGTTGACAGCTGTCAGCTGACAGCCTCAAAAGTTTGAAAATCTGCTCAAAAAACTCTCGATCAGAACTCTGCGCACTCTCAATAGGGGGGCACAGGAAAAAACTCGGCGACAAAGAACGTTTCGTATCGACGCCCTGGACTGAATTCGGCACGTCCAACAAACGGAATAGTGTTCTCTGATATATTTTCTACGTGCTGGGTATGGTCGTGTTTAGTTGGAAGCTCAGTGCATCACCGCTTTCTATTTTGAGACTTGGCCGATGGACTATTATGGTGATTTCCATGGTGATTACCTTAGGCGGAAGTTACGTAGACATTACGTCAATGCATACTGGTTAGTTACTTTTGTGATGTCTCTTCAGGCGATAGATATGAAATTAGACTAGCACTTCTTTTAGGGAAAAGTGCAGTGCTACATTTGTAAATGGCACGGGTGTTATTAATGTGGTACCAAGAGTACATAACCCCAGGGGGGGGGGGGGCTTGTGGACTCTTGATGGTACTGTTGAAGGTGTGGTCACTCATGAGAGTGGGTATTTGCCAAAGGTGAAGAAGACGTTGGTGTGACTTCGCGATAAATGAGGAATTGTGTGTTGCTCCCTACGTGGGAGCTTGCAAGTGAGAATTCAAGTCGGCAGGAATAGCGCAAGCTCCCACGAAAGGAGCAATACAAAATTCTTTTTAAAGATAATAGAATAATAAAAACAATGTAAAGGTTCGTCGTAAAGAATATTCCAGGTGAAGGCCTGATAAACGTTTCAATGAACGCCGCTTGCGACACTTACCACGACACATGTAACTGCCAATGGTGTTTGTACAATTGAAACCTGGATCGCAAACATCTGGCGAGTCCTCACACTCATTTCGATCTATCTCGCATGCAACATAGAAAACAAGACACGATTTATAGACGAGAAAATGGTTATCTTTCTAACGAATCTGAGGCCAGCACAAACAAAATCTAGACTTGTTGAGAATACATGCACTGCACCATAATCATAGGTAATCCAGGTGTCAAATGGTTCGAAAATGAATTTTGCATTTTAATGCATTATTCATTTTAAAATGTTCCAAACACCGTCGTCATTCACGTTATTAATTACAGGCTGAAAGACATTTCAGAATTCAGAAAACACTTAAGATAAGGGCAATTTCGCTGATATAGGCCTAATAGTTCGGATGCGGTTTATTTGTGTCGTAAACCAAGCATAAACATAATTACATCGAACTACGGAATAGGGAGAACCGGGATACACTTCGATATTAAAATTGAGAAATTTGTTGGGATGCAAAGCAAAGAGCAAAAACACGATGGACCGAAGATGAAAGCGTCATGGCGGCATCATTTCGCCAGCTGAGTAGTGTTAACATGATCACCACACATATCTTTGAGTAGTTGAATGCGCTGCAGCCACGCATGTAAGAGAAATCCGCTCTTGGTCCATGTATCGAGCTCAATGGTTTTTCTTACATCCCACGAGCCAACGGCTAGTTTGTCATGGCACCAAGCGGCGACCGCACAAAAATCAAGCGCTCAGGGGCTTTGCAAAACCTTGCACTAGCTTCCCAGGACAGGAGAACTGCGCGGGCCATCTTGCGCCACTGTTTCGCTGATTTGTTGTGGTGGAACAGTTCTTCTTTCTCGTCTTGTTGAGCTGGTGATCAGCAAGTGACTCTTCGCGGCGGCTTTCATTCGAGTTTCTGGGAGCGTAGGGGTTATTCCCATGGTTTCTAAGTGCTGGAAGCGAAAGGGCATATGTAGGCGCTCCGTGGGTGCTTTCCTGCCACGTGGTTGAATTCAGTTAGTGCATGACTGTGGGAGAGAAATTTGAAATTTTTAGTGAATATATTTATTCAAGACCACTAAAGTCTTGTCGGCGCTTGGGGACATGTTGTAGCAGACTATGGTGGTGGTCTTCCCCACATTTCAAAACGTAGTCTCGCCCTTGAAGATGGCCTTCGCACTGGCCGCCTTTGGACAGTTTAAATAGATCGATTCGTTCGAGGGACTCAGCAAGTCGTCAGTCGAAAGTTGGATGGCTAGATATTACTAATTTACTAGGTAACTTGAATCGGTTTGCGAAGATAGTTGGTTCGGCTGCGCTTTGTTGTGGTGTGCAGCGGTGGCCCATCGTTCTTGTACCTTGTTTGAATACTTGGCGAATAATTTTTCGATTATTTAATTTTGGAGCATATCGAAGAAACGCAGCGTTTTGGGACCACACTGTCCTGCTGGGTGAATGAAGTCCACCAGGGGTTAAAAGGAGGCAATGTTCCAACGGCCTATCATTTTCTAAGATTGGAGAAAGGACAGCAGAGTTGCGAAAATTTGAACACTGGTTTATTATGCACTGTACAAATGTATGCACTGTCAGAACGAGTTTACTCGTCCTCGTAAATACAGCGAACATAATTTGGACAAGTTAACTCGTGCTCGGTCCTCAAAGGGTTAATAGTCAACATCTTTAACCACCAAATATTTTCGGACTTGGCCAGATTTCCGATTTCGCTCAAAGTTCGCTCCTTTTATCAAAACAATTCCCCATTAGCCACATTGTAACAATGGCATTACTTACTTTCCGTCTCCTTAGTACCTGCATGCACAATATTCTCTGAAAATCACTGCTTTAGACAACTCTTCTTGGAGCCCTCGCCGACGTCGTCCCGAATTGTATTGCAAGGCCCACCGACAGGCATGACCACTCGAGGTCAATTGGGACGCAACCTTCCCCTCCCCCTGGCCCACAGTGCTTCTGGCGCATGCCGACCGCTTCTAGCCAGCTGCCGACTCTGGAATGGCCTGCCCGACTGTATGATGTCCATAGTATGTGTCCGTGAATTCAAACGCATGCTACGCGTATTTTACTTCGGTTAAATGTACTGGCTTTCGTAACCTGCTGATGAGGCTCGATAGAATCATGCTAAGATGACCCGATTTGTAAATTTGAGATCCATTTTTTTCTGCTCGTCTTGACCCTGCCTCCCCTAATTGCTACTTCCATTTTCGTATTTTTATTTTCATTTATTTTTCTCTTCATTTCTGACTCTTCTTACTGGTTGTCATCGCTTCCATAATAACGTTATTGGGCAGAACTGCCCGTTTGCCGTGCGATGTAAAATAAATAAACAACAACAACAAAAACGTCTCGAGATTGGCAAATGTTGACGCTCCTGACCCGAGAGCCAGACAATATCCGCCCTCCGGATCGGTAATAATATTGCTCGATCCAATCTCTACAGTAGCCATACTCAAATCTTATCTACTCCTGAAAATCATTTCAATGAGCGCCGAGGCAAGACCATTCCTCGAACAAACAGCAGATCACGTAGCCTACCTTCACACTTGTAAGTCCCTTTGCCATTGACACAGATTTCTCCTTGAGGACATGGATCAGTGCTGCACTCATCCCAATCTTACACATGGAGAAAAAAGTGATTATACAGAGCAATGAGAGCACGGACATGCAGTGGAGATAGAATTCAAGGACTTTCTTCAAGGGTATAATACATATAGTGCATAATTACGACACTCGGCGGGGCATACTGCACACTAGCATATTGATGGACATTTTTGTGATTCCGTTTTTGAATTCATAATATGAATTCAAAAACGGAATCACAAAAATGTCCATCAATATGCTAGTGTGCAGTATGCCCCGCCGAGTGTCGTTATACGCAAAGTTGACTGTATAATTATAATAGAATCATTTTGTTTGGACAAGTGAATTGGCAAACCTGTGACTTGTGAAAATACTGCCACTGGCTTAACGAAATGGTTTCGGTCGAGGAAACAAGCACCACCCCGAATGGCGTTCGCCAGTTCGAAAATTTATCTTGAATGCGCCACGGAACAAAGAAAATAATGGACCTCGTGATTCCCAGAGTGAGATACTGCTATATATGTCCTCATTATGAGAAACCAATTTATGTACATCGCTTACCTCTTGCACATATGAATGGCCTGGGCGAATCGTCCGGCTGCTCAGTGATCCTGGACCTCTTGATATCAAGAGAACCTTTTCCCTGTCTATTGTAAAGCCATATATGTTGTAGTCCCCGCCAGACAAGTCTGCCTATTACTTCCTGGAATCAAATTTAAAGCAGGCAGGCACAGTGGGTTGGTCAAAGACCATGATTGAGATACGAGAGATACCTGGTTCAAGTCTTGCTTGGGAACGGTTTTTCCAGCCGTGCTGTTACCCACAGTCAATTGGGAACTTGTTGCCAGGCACAAGGCGTACATGGATGCGGCGAATGGGGTTTCTCGGCACTTGTGCGAGTGGTTGTGAGACTTATCCACTCACCCCACCGTAATGCGCTGCATATGCGGCTAGGGTTTACCGGGTGTTAGCGGCCTTCGTGAGTTCCCTTGGGAAGGGACACGATAATTTACTTTTAATCAAATTTAAAGAGCGCTTTCAGAGTTGGTCAGCAACATTGCACATCAAGTTCTTATCCCCGTCATACCATGGTAAGTAAATCATGCTTGCTTTCTCATTTTGCAAGTTTTATATTTCGATCTTGTTTGCAATAAATTGCAGTCAAAACGAGAATGTAAAGTTACATTACCATCTAAGTTGGAACGCTGTTGGTTTGCGCATTCGAGTAGTTGTAGAGATGACGTGGACGTTTTTGGTTTGTTTGAATTTTTATTAACATCGCAAACCAAACGGGCGGTCCTTGAACATCATGACGACATCAGTGAGCATTGTGCTAAATATTACATCCTCTCACTGCACACATTTGGCGCTTTCGATTACACAGTTTGGTCCAGGTTTTATAATTCTCGAATGCACAGAGTTAACGGATTGCGGCCATGTGAACGAACGACTACACTTAGAAATCGTAAAATGGGATCACGTGATGATTCCTGTGCACACCTCACACGTGCAACTAGCATGGCATTTTGGAGGTTTCGCTCTACGGAATTACGGATAAAGATCGAGAGGTTCTGCTATACGTGAAACGCAGAGAAATCACGTAGGCCCGGGAAGTCTCTTCGCGTTCCCGTAAAGTAAAGAAAAGCTGTTCTGCTCTACGTTCACGTAGAGAAATCACGTGAAATGTGTACTGGGACTTTCACCTTCCATATTTGGCAGTTTTCTGCCTGCAGTTGATCGATGCCCAGCAGATCCATACGCATTTTCTCTGCGTGTGCCACAACGTAGAGAACCTCATCTCCGCGTAGAAATCTGGACACAAAACACGCGAAGCCGTAGACTCTAACCCAGACACCTGCTCTCTACGTGATTTCTCTACGTTTCACGTATAGCATTTTTAATTTTTAATTTTTTATTGAAAAACCGCAAACCTTCAGACATGTGAGTGTGCACATGATATACAGTGTACATACGTATGTATGGAGAAGGCAGCACGGAAACGGCAGTGGTGGTGAGGCCTGGGCAGCTCGTCCGACCGTGGGTCTCGGAGTCAGCACTGGGCAGACGCATCGGGGGGGGGGGGGGGGGGGGGGTGGTAGCTTAGGAGATAAGGGATACGTTACGTAGGAACTGCACGGAATTTTCAAACGTAAAAATCAGAGCTACTAGGGAGGTTCTGCTCTACGTTTTGGAAAAACGATGCAAAGAATCACGCGAACTCTCTTCGCGTTCCCATAACCTAAAGAAATCCTATTCTGCTCTACGTTCACGTAGAGAAGTCACGTGGAATGTGTACTGGGAATTTCCCTTTCCATATCTGGCAAATTTCAGCCTCCACTCCTAATGATACCCAGCAGATCCGTACGCATTTTCTTTGCGTGTGCCACAACGTAGAGAACCTCATCTACGCGTGGAAACCGGGACCCAAAACACCCGAAGCCGTAGACTCTAACCCAGAAATCTGCTCTCTACGTGATTTCCCTACGTTTCACGTATAGCAGAACCTCCCTGTTGACTTTCACTCTACGTGATTTCTCAACGACTGCTAAACATGCGTGGTTGCTTTGGAGACGCGTTGGCTGCATGCGCCCACAGCATGCACCACGAACAGAAACCGCATTTACCCTTTTATTTTGCACGTGGTGTTCGGTGTGTGTACCTTGTGTTTCGCGCGGCTTGAACGTTGCCTTGCATGGCATGGACAAATCCGGAAAACGCGAAATATATTTCAAAAAGTCCTACGGAGGACCCAACGTAGGAAACAGCTTTCCTACGTAAATCCGTAGAGAGATTTATGTGGAACCGAACGGTGCATCCGCCACAACTAATTCTAAAATTGATCGAAATGTGTGTAATCTATTAAACGCACTCAATATGACAATAAGTTAGAAAGCTATGGTCTTTCTGCGTCTTTTGCTGGGTTACAACGAAGAGCGACTGGAATGGAAAGAAATCGTTGCGGTTACTACTATCATTAACACGATAATGCCGAAAACGCACCCGAAACCGAACGAAAATGGAAACGCACTTCAAAGTAGTTTGAAATGTTTTCAAAACGCTTCCGCTCTATTTTAAACAGTGAAAACGATTGGAAAAGAAGCGCGGTCATGGAAACCATTCCACGCGGCAATAAACATGGTAATATGGTGTGGAAAATATTCAAACCAAGAGCTCAAACCAGCGTTCATGAGCTAGAAAACTGCAACTAGCGTGTTGATTCGCGCAAATGGTTTGAAAACAATTCAAGGGCAATTCCGTTCCGTTTCATTTCGTTTCGTTTCGTCTCCGTGTAAACGCTGCCTTAATTAATTGTTATCATTGTCTCTCCATCCAAGTCTAGCATGCACAGTGGTTCCATTGCTATTAGGGATCATGCCATTTGGGATTTTGATACTGCATAGGCAGTATTGAGTATTGGCTCTATTTCTAGGTCTATTGAAAAAATGTTAATCCTTCGCTAACTGGAAAAACCAGGAACAGCACGTACTTCCTGCATTTATAAGCCAACCCCACAAGCAACAGCATCAGTATGAGTCCATAACACTCGTGCTCTTGAGAACTGTTCAGAAGCATTCCGGAGCATTCAACATTAAATGTTTTCAACAAGTACCGGTCAATCGCCAAAGGATAATTTTGGATCTCTTGAGGGAACTTTAGGTGGCCTATAACACAAAGCCTACAGTCCATTCATCGGCAACAGTCCCGCAGGCTTTTGAAAGTCCGATTTGGGCCGAATTGAGGATCAAAACTCCAATTTTAAATTGAAGAAATCTGGGTTTGGGATCTGCTTTTCGAAACATTTTGCCATGCCATACCTGTCCTAATTTTGGAAAACCTGGCTGAATTTCTATTTCTCTGTTCCTGGACTTTTCTGCACTCAACTGTGGCAAGGAGTACATGTAATTGCAAGGGTCACACAATGCAGGATGTACTGTTGTTTTCACGATATCTACAACTATGTGCGGGAGACACCAAAAAGTTAGGGTGCCAGTTTCCACTGAATGGACTGTAGAACAAACGATAGGGCATGACGGGAGTGAACAGGAAATTCTCATCATGGCACTTAGTGTCTGATAGCAGTCCTACAGACCGAATTAAACATATCTAATAACCACAGTGCCTTGACAAACGAATCTATGTGAGTGCCTTATTGGCTTGATGAGGGTGTAGGTATTATAGTGATTAGGTGCAGAATGTTTTCAGAACTTTTAGCCATGCCAAATCCTTACCTTGTAGCACTGGGAATTTTTCAGCAAGTTATGTTCTTTGATTCTAAGAAGCCCTATGTTCTGTTCCAAACAGGCGCTACGGGCACCTCTGTACGAAAGTTTGTTGGTATTGATGCTAACATTGAATCCGTCACAGAAAAATGTCCTCGCTGTGGAGAAAGATCACAATGGGCACATCGTATCTGTCATTTTACGCAGCTGGCGTTGTTTCGTCAACAATTCTGAATGTATCATTGTATTTACAGCTACATATACATGTATAAAATCAGTAAACGAAGCACAGATGCCATAATAATAATTATTATTATTATACTTGAAAACACCGCCATTCCGGCAACAGGCTCTCAGCTGCACCAAATAAATATCTTTGCCAATATTTCGCCCATTGGGCATCATCAGGGCATTGAGGAAGGGGAGGCCAAATTACGAAATATAAAGACGAATAATGCAGGCAGATGAATGTTCAAGAACTAAAACATCATGGTGACACAATTGGCAAGGCCAGCAAACTAAACAATCATCACTTGTAAGGTGACCTAAACAAAACGAAAGATGAGAAAGCTCACACATACACACAGACACAATTTGGCAAGAAAACTAACGCTAACACTAACACTAAAGTTTACAATCATCACCTGTAAGGTGACCTAAACAGAAGAAAGAAGACTAGTAAGACTATCACAGCACGTACAAGAACACTTTCAAGTGTGGGAATGCTAGAGGCGATCTATGTATATGACAGCGGTGTATGTGCAAAGTATGTGTATGTGCTGTGTCATGTGTATGTGCTGTGTCAGCTACAGTGAAGCCAGATCTCTACAAGCGATATATCGACGACTGCATACTACTGTGGAGACATGGCTGGAAAGGTTTAACAGCACTTCTAGATCACTTCAACGGACAGCACACTACTATCAAATTCACAATGGAACACTCGGTCAACGAAATTCAGTCAGTGAACTTCCTGGATCTAGCGCTGTCTGTGCGTGGAAACAGCATAGAGTGGGAGCTCTATGTTAAGCCTTCCCACAGTGGTGTCCACCTGTCCTATGAATCATGTCTCCCCTGGTCGTGTAAAAGAGCTGTTGCAACGAACCAATTCTCTCGAGCTATCCGTAACTCGTCAACACCGGAAGCGGAAGACAGGAGCATGTCCATAATTGAAGAGTTGCTCGAGAGAAATGACTATCCACGCACCGAGATAAACGCAGCACGACGAGCAGCCAAGGGGAAGAGACTACACACCCGTCTCAACAACAGCAGCGTGACTGCAAGCGCAGACACAACCAATTCAAGTCAGTCATCAAACTGCCCTTCATCAACGACTCACTTGCCGCTCGTGTCTCACAACGTGTTCGAAAGTTCAGTCCGCATGTTCGTGTTGTCTTTGTGTCTGGCCCTTCTTTGAAGGATATGTTGGTCCGATCGTCGAGTGCTGTACGTGTGTGTCCCCGTGAGAAGCAGCGATCGGAGGTGAAGAGAGGGAGAGGTCGACCAATGGAGTGTCGTGCATGTGATGCGAGTATGGTGGATAGTCAGTGTTTAGTCAAAGGTGTTGTCTATTGTATGTCTTGCACGTTGTGTGCGGAATTGTACGTTGGTGAGACCGAGCGGCCGGTGAGGGACCGATTCGCTGAGCACTACCGAGAGGCAAGGGCGATGGTGGCGAAGGCTCCCTGGGGCTTCCACTATCGTACCCAGCATCGAGAATCTTTAAAGTCTTCCAACTTTCTGCCCTTCCACCAGGCAAAGATTCTCGGCAGGGAGGCTTCGCTACCATCAAGGAAACTGCTTGAAGCTATCAAGATAAGGAAGCGCAAACCAGCAGTCAATTGCGATGACGGCTGGCGCCTAATTGACTGATTGGATGTCACCGGATCGTCACTGGAATCGACACCCATCTCCTCGAACTACCACTGGACTTTACCACCTGACACAGCACATACACATACTTTGCACATACACCGCTGTCATATACATAGATCGCCTTTAGCATTCCCACACTTGAAAGTGTTCTTGTACGTGCTGTGATAGTCTTACTAGTCTTCTTTCTTCTGTTTAGGTCACCTTACAGGTGATGATTGTAAACTTTAGTGTTAGTGTTAGTGTTAGTTTTCTTGCCAAATTGTGTCTGTGTGTATGTGTGAGTTTTCTCATCTTTCGTTTTGTTTAGGTCACCTTACAAGTGATGATTGTTTAGTTTGCTGGCCTTGCCAATTGTGTCACCATGATGTGTTAGTTCTAGAACATTCATCTGCCTGCATTATTCGTCTTTATATTTCGTAATTTGGCCTCCCCTTCCTCAATGCCCTGATGATGCCCAATGGGCGAAATATTGGCAAAGTTATTTATTTGGTGCAGCTGAGAGCCTGTTGCCGGAATGGCGGTGTTTTCAAGTGCAAGGAATACGCTGCAATGGAGTTTGGGAATTCTGAAGAAATATTATTATTATAGTTTTAACTAGACCTTTCATACCATACTTTTCAAGTCGAATACAATGGTGATAAGCTTGTAGTCAAGCCGAAACCCAGACACCCGTATGCACATTATCAGCAAACCTACACTGCAGTATTGCACTTGCACTGGGTTTTACCACCCTTTAGCACCAGCAAGTTATCAGATCTTGGCGCCTCGAACCAAGTGGCATTCTCACCTTCACATTCCGGTAGCACAGCCATGGCGGCCAAGGAGACCAACACCAGCACGGGGAGAAGTGGCACTCGCATGTTGAAACAGGTACGGAAAATGTGGTTTCTACGTTTGGGAGAGAAAAAAAGAAGGTTTGCATATCCGTAACGTATCATAACAAAATTGAATATTTATATAAAAGCGAACAATTATGCTGCACAACAGTGAGACCAATTTTGCGATGCAACAAAACATCCATCAATGTTCATAAGCGCACTGAAAAAATCTAACAGCTATTATGCCAGGCCACAGTTAAGAGGATGCCATACAAGATGCACCGACCCCAGAGTATGGCAATAATTCAGGCGTTTTACCTTTCTCAGCAAGGGGTCCAGATCGCTGCCCGAAGGGATGGCAGTAGACAGATCAGTACACCAACCTTACCCAACTAAGAGCAAGGAAAACTGTGACGAGTATTTCACTATCACTGTTTTTATAATTCATGTTGTTCCTGGTGTTGGTCCAAACATGGGCTTGCAGCAATCGATTCCAAATACGGTAGATAGGATCATGGGGCCTAGGACATGAAGTTGTGGGCCTAGGCAGTGATCCTGTTCTGCCTAACAAGGGGCTAGAAAATTGCTCTTGAGGCAGCATCACTTTAAACTGGATATTCAACGCATAATGATCTCCAAGCTGCTGATAGCATTCTATAATTGACTTTGACGCTCTATATATAGTTTCTCAAGTCTTACTCTAGCGGGAATTCTCCCTAAGTAGTACAGGGCTCACTGCGTGATGTGAATTCATTCCACACCCTATTTTTGTGAACAGAGGTACCGGTACACCCGTATAAAGCACTTCTGCCACGGAGTATTTTTAACATCTGGTTTGCCACGTTACAGATTGCGACACGAAAACGTGCCTCCAATTCATCCTACAGAATGACCGACAGCTCTGATATGAGTGCACAGAATGAAGCCGTTGAATTCTCACCAAAGAAATGTACTGCTCTTTAGATTCTTATTATGACTCCTTGTAGGAAGAAGATGGGACATTATGAATACGACCTTTGAGCATAATTATTTCCAAAGATGCAGCCGGACAATATACTGTCAGAAAGTGAAACAAATAGGGAAAAAAGACACAGATACATGTGAAATACACGAGTGTTATGGGACTGCGTTTAGCCGGGAGCTAACACGTGCAAGCAGTCATGACCTGGCGTTACCATGTGTCACTGATCACTTTCAATAACATTACACCTGGCGCTAACACATGTCCGAAGTCCAGATTTACAACTTTCGAGCCGCGAACGTTCACCTTTATCGAAAGACCATATGATCTCGTCTCCTCATCATCCTGTAATGTGTATGCAGTATCAGTAGACTCGAAAAGTTGCTATAATGTTCATTCCTGTTCCATCAACCTTCCCCTCTTTGGCCTCTCGTGAGCATTCCAATTTGGTTGTGTTTTCTTTCGCACTATGGAGATCTGTTGGAGCTAGGTGTCGTGGCCGATTTTAAAAGCTTTGTTATTCATTAGACTTCATTAGACTTCATTTTTGATTTGAGCTGATAACGTCACGTGATACGTACTTAAGACCGAATCCAGGTACGCCTTTATCTGAATACGTGTAGTTTGCTTGACAACATGATCGCCAAACTTCAAGGTTGTTGATTCAGGTTTATTATTAGTATTCTGCTTGTTCGCGTTAGGCCTGGGCGGATAATGGAAGTTATTTTGCGGGATAATGCTACCGGCAATGCCAGAAAAACTGTATCATCATGCTACTTTTAAGACTATGTCTTTTTCTCTTTCTTTGCTCACCTATTGCTCATCACTTTTTTTACAGATTTGGTATTATGAAAAGTTTGGAAACCCCCTCGATAGACGAAAGCCTTTGGGGAATCCTTAAACAATAAAAATTACAAATTACAATCATGCTGCTGCGTTTTCTCACCAGCCGTCCTTTTGCGGCGCACTACCAACTGCGTTGCGCTGTAGTTGATGTGGAACCAACAGAAGACCTTTAACGGCAGAGCAAGACCTGAAGGGTGTGTGTGTGGGGGTGGGGGGGGGGGGGGTGGGGGGGGGGGGTGGTGTCCATTATGAACACCATATTTAGAATATTGTCACAGCATGGGTTGCCGATAGGTACAACGTGTCTATTCGCCTACACTTCAGAAGCCGGCGCTGCGGCGCACTGCCACCTGCGGTTCGCTGAAGTCGATTTCGCCTCGACCGCAGACGGTCAAGTGACAAGGCATGGCGGAAAAGCAAAGTCTGGCCCGTATTTGGCAAAGCCCTACCTATTTTCGGTGAGAAGGGGAATACTAGTATTCCTCTGAGGTTTGTGAGAGCCGAATTAGGGGGTCCCTGCCTCTGCCCTAACATGATATGCCAAATACAAGAAGTGCAGATCCGTGTCGAACACCATTCAGAAAAACATCCATTTTTGGCTTATTAGCATGGCCATGCTGCAGGATAAAACCATGCATGTTAGTCAAGAATGCTTCAGTCGCTTTCTTTGTGTAGCGGAATTTCATTTCCAGTCATTCAAGGAGACAAACTTCCTGATCGATAGAAGGTAAGAGTTCTGTAGCCTGTGTTAGCCCGCGTCTAGTACTCTAAAACTAATGCACATTTCCAGTGCATTACATCCTATACATGTGTTTATGCCATGGATCTTATCTTCCTTTTCGTCGAGTATGCTTGTGTAAGCTGAAAGATTAGTGTTCGTAGAAGTGAAGCAGTTTTGGATACTAGCGATGTAAAATTATATAACGTACAGTGTTATGATATTGTTCGTATTTTGGCATTTGTCCCTTGCAGGCAAACATGTCGCGTGCTACCTATAGTATGCAACTGCCACTTCTACAAGTGTTCGGGTTGCTGGCTGTAAGCGCACTGGTGTTACTACAGGAAATTAAAGGTGAGATTAAGTGAATGAATTTTTGTAACATGGAAATTGTGGGTACACGTTATGCGATCGAGTCCACCAACTAAACCAGATACTAAACTTGTGCCCACAATTTCCATGTTGCCACCGCGCCATTTCCCCTCATCCAGCCCCAGAACTCGCAGCGAGCATGTTAGCGTCATTGGCCATGATCACCAGCTCCAACACCAGCTGCTTGCATCTGTCCCGCTGGCATTAAAGCGCTCGTTCCCACACTGCAGTATTAGTGACTGGAACTCCCTCCCCGCCGCTCTTCTGTCCCAGCCTCCCCACAGCAAGGGAATACAAGCATTCAAAACTAATGTTTATCGCCATCTGCGAAGCACAAACTGGCTCTGGGCAGTCGACTCGCTATGATGATGCTCTCGTCGTTCTCCTCTATCCCTATCTATGCACAACAACTGGCTCAGACAACCGACTCACCATGATCAGCCATGATGATGCTCCTCTCAGTAACATGTTAACAGCCCTTGTAATTTGTTAATAGTCTCACAGTTTCTCCCGCACACTCGCTGGTGTTAACCCTTAAGGCCTTCCTTTCTTTTCATTTTGCTGACTCGTACAGCTCTATCTTTTGTTTTTGGTGCGTGTTTTTGGCCGTGATGCCGAGACCTCAGGTCGGCAGGGCCATCAATGCCCCACCATCACTGCTGCGTCTCGCTGCAGCCCCTGCTCAATAGTTGTCACGTTCGTCCTAGTCTCAGTATCATTGTCTTTCTTATTATTTTCGAGCTGGGAATGTGAACATACATGTAGTAAAAAAAAAAAAAAAAAAAAAAAAAATGTTACAACTGTTTTCCTTGGATTACCATCGGAGTTGTGAATATATTTTAGCCGGAAGTTCCGGTCTACAGCCTCACAATATCAGGGCCAGCCTTTAATGCTAATGTTGTTGCTGCTTAAAATCACTTGGTTCATTGCGCTTGGTTCTCCAGTCTTCCCACACCATGTACATAATTCCCGTCCCTTCGTCCTGTCCACCAAATAGACGTTGCACTTCCTTTAATCAATACACACACCGCATACTAAGTACACGTCTTTCCAAGTGGTGAATCCCTGTACAGGCGATCTGCCCTTTGCGTCATTCCGAAACATTTTATTCGGAAATAATTCCTCGAGTACAAGTTGGTTTGTTTCGCTCTTATAGAGTTTGATATCATGTAGCAAAAATTACTCTAAGTAGAAATGACAGGACATGTGGATACGAGTTAAAAGTAACTTCCCACCACTGTAACTAGATAGCAGAGAAGTTCTGCAAAAGGAAAATGGGCACAAAATTTCACTCCACGTCATGAAGTGAGAAACTTCGCACGAACGTTCGCAACTTTGGACGCGAAATTTGCAGGGAACGCGAAATGAACGTTCATGGGAGGTTTCGTGAGATTGGGTCATGGTGTACGTGCAATTGGCCCGTGCAAACTAGGAAAATGTGCAGAACTCAAAGTTGGTGCGAAAATTCATATACACATTTTCGCAAGGCCTGTCGCGAAACTTCGCTAATTTTTTGTTTTGTAGAAGTGACTAAGAATCCCTCTACTGTATACAGTCAAAAAGTGCAATGGAGATATGTTAAAGCTAGGTGTCAGGTCGTCGAATGTCTCAGTACATTGTCAGTTGTGTGCCTAGTTGTTGCACGTTCTGACTGTATATAGTATCTAGTTGCAGTTTTGGACAGTTACTCTTAACTCGTATCCATATGTCCTATTCCTTTCTACATTTATTATTGGATCAACATCCGAGTTCGAAAATTGTTCTGTAGTTGATGTTTCTACAAGTATACAAAAGAGAAAGGCCAAGGAACTACAAGTTACGCTATACTGTCCACTAACACCACCAGTTACTAAACAATCAATGTTATCAACGTGCAATGTTATCACATGAGCTGATTGTTTAGTAACTGGTGGTGTTAGTGGACAGTAAAGCGTAACTTGTAGTTCCTTGGTCTTCCTCTTTTGTATAAATTAAACATTGGCTCTCCATCTGAGTTGATATTTCTGTTCGCCAAAAACCGCAGTGCGTCCAATGAACGTACTTTTGCGCAAATCAGAAATTACCGTTTTTGCTTCGTTTTCTTGAACCAGCTTCTGAATTACACTGCAACGGATTCAACATCAGTAGCCATTTGGATCCGACGGATTACAAATCTGCTCGATCAGTCTGCTCTCGGCAGCAGTTAACGCTCCTCAGGATCAAAGATCACAATCGTTTGCGAAGGTCAACATGTTACAGCGTAAGTATTGTCGAACGATTCTAGGTTTAAGATGATTAGTGGGGAGTAATACCAAGAGTACATAACCCCCAGAGTGTGCAACGCTTGATCCAGCTCTGCATAGGGTCCTTGTCGAGCGTAATTGGATCTTTGCGTCATAATGCCGTACAGATCTGAGGGGAATCCGGGGAGTCGCGGATCAAAAGCAACGATCCCCTGCCTCTAGACCGGCCTTGCGCTCGTGTGGAGTGCACGCATGCACGCATGCACGCATGACCCCAGA